ATAGTTTTCAGTTGGAGTGCATGTTGCGTACAGCACTTTTAACAGCGCCTCATAAAGTCTGCTCTTATTTAAAGCTACAGTACGTCACTTTCTGGAGGTGGCGCGATAGTTTTATAGTCCCATTCATCAGACTGTTTCACTTCGTAGAAACCGTCTGACCTCGCAGCATTAGGATTCGTTTGCTCGACAGTAGGCGGGTACTTTTTTTATTTTACCAATCGCTGCTATTTGGTGGTGACATATGTACGTACGTATATCAAACTTTTCCCAAATCCTGAAGGAAGGAAGGACAATAACGTCTTTCCCCTTGAAGAAATTCACCAAACATTCTCTTTGTTTCGGCTTTAAATCCTCGATCTCGGGAATCGTTGCCAACGCAGAATATTTGGCTCTTCGCTGATTGGCTGGTGCCCGAACTCACACTTCCGGGCTTTTTGCAAACCGTCTAGTGTATTCTGATTCCTGATCTAGTCGCTGGAGAGAAATGAAATTGAGCGGAGGCACTAGGTGGCGCCAGTCTGACTACCGTATTTTCCAGGCTATACGGCGTTCTGGATTATGAAACGCACTGTTATTAAATGGTCTATTTTTAAACTTTTTTCACAAATAAACCGCGTAGGACTTTAAATGAATAATGCATAATCTTTGTTATTGATCCATGTGCGTAATTTGCTCAGAGTGTGTTGTTGGCATTAGAGGTTGCAGTGTGTCTCGGTTGCTCGGCGACGGGAGCGGCTCTGTAGGCTACACCTGTCACATTTTTGGCAACGGTCTTGTGTTCCGCGGAGGCCCCTGCCGATGACGGGGTCGCGACGTCATTGTTTTCCGAAAGCTGCGGTTTGCTTGTCCACATGACAATGCATCGCCCGCATTCTCAGATTTCTGCACTCTGGAACCCGTTCTCAAAAAACACAATTTTTGCCCACCCAAAACGCCGGCTCTGTGTGGACAAAAGGCCAAAACAAATACAGTATTTTCCGCACTATTAGTCGCTCTGGATTATAAGACGCACTGTCATTAAAAGGGCTATTTTTGAACTTTTTCACAAATAAACTGCACCGGACTTTAAAGGAAACACAACAGTTGGATGGGTCAGTGGGACTTTGTTTGGTGCATTCACGGTGACTCTGGGCTTTGTTCAATTGTGGCTCATCATCCGCCCGCTTTACATTTGCACCCAAGGTTTTGTCCAATTTAGAACAATCATACAGCAAACAAACTAATTTATGGTCATTGAATGGTCTATTTTTGAATTTTTTTCACAAATAAACCTCGTGGGACTTTAAATGAAACCCAACAGTGTGATGGGTGAGTGGTTTTGTTTGTTTGTGTCGTTCACGGTGACTCTGGGCTTTGTTCAGTTGTGGCGTGTAGGGAGGGTGCTGTCTGGGACCAACAGATTGTCGTCGTGTTCGCAGTGACTCAGTTGTTCAGTCGTGTCTAGAAGCAGCGTATCGTTTAATGTGATGATACAATATCGGCTGTATCGATATATCGCCAAGAGTATTTTTTTAGGTTTATTTTACGTTATTATTTTGTTCCAGCGCTACAATTTGAGATGAAGGAAACTCGTTTATGCGACACATTTGATATTTTCACTGTTTTGATGATTAAAATGTTTGTGTTTCATATGAACTTTGCACAAGAAGAAGTGGTTTAACAAAGACTTTTAGTATCACAGTCATGACTTAGCCTTAATTTTTTTTTTTACCGTATCGAATCGATTTTGAAATAAATCGTATCAAATCGAAAGTGCACTCTATCAAGATACCGTATTTTCCGCACTAGTAAATGCTCTGGATTATAAGAAGCACTGTCATTAAATGGTCTATTTTCGAACTTTTTTCACAAATAAACCGCACTGGACTTTAAATGAAACCCAACAGTGTGATGGGTGAGTGGTTTTGTTTGTTTGTTCGTTCACGGTGACTCTGGGCTTTGTTCAGTTGTGGCGTGTAGGGAGGGTGTGTCTGGGACCAACGGATTGTCGGCGTGTTCGCAGTGACTCAGTTGTTCAGTCGTGTCTAGAAGTGGCACATTGCACTCGCTTTTTCGGTTCGTTCCTCGTCAGCGTGGAGTGATGAGTGTGTCTGTGGTTGTTTGTCGCTGTGCAGTCGCTGTCTGCTCCATGTGTGTTTGCGTGTTCTGCGGGTGGTGCGGCTTTGTAGTTTACTGAAGTCGTACTGGGACACCTGATTCGTGTGTGGGGCGCTCTGGATTGTGGCGCGCGGTCGTTTTTTGACGGGGTTGGAGGCTTAAGACCGCGTCATTTCCATGGAAACAAGCAGCAGGAGACTTTCCCCCAGGACAAATATGAATCAGGTTTGTGGAGATGAGTTAGGATACAAGTTTGTCAGTGAAATAAACAAAACCAACAAGATTTTTTGTCTGAAAAGTGACATACTGTGGCTTTAAATATTCAATATAAATAAATATATTCCCCTTACCAATAAGTGCCTTAAAGCTGACGACCAGACTGATTCTCCCCAAAGAGTAGATTATAAAAGCTCTTGGCAGACTGTAGCGATCCAGCTCCAGAAAAGTTCCGCAGTGCACCTTTAAGTAACATCTAATTTAAAAAACTAAATAATCTAAAATATAATCCTGTTTGTGGAGGTTAGCTCTTGGCCGACTGCAGCGTTTGTCTGTCGTCGTTGTTGGTTGTTGTTTTCCTCTTTCTCCATGTAAACCTGCACAGACCTCCAGAGCGCGCGGATGTTTCCTTCTCCGAACCCGGACGCTCCTCGCCTCTGGATCAGCTCCAGGAAGAACGTGTCCTCGGAAAACAGCGGCCGCGTGAAAACCTGCAGCAGGTATCTACGGCGACAGAGAGAGGACAAAAAGGGTCAAACGGACATGAAGATAGGAGCAACTCTGACCAGTCACCTCTCACACTGTGCTATTTCTGAGCAATAAAAACACCTGCAACTGAATTGATTGAGAAACACACATTTTTACAGTGAGTCAGGTCGCCTCTCCACAGATCTGACCTGTAACTAGGCCCTGTGTTGTTGTATTTGGGTCCATACCTCTTCCGTTGTCCCTGTGTCCCGTCTGTGTCCTGCAGGTCTGTGTCCAGGAGGATCCCGTGTTGAGACAGAAGTTCGGGGCTGTGACCGGCTTCAAGGATCTCCTGCTGCTTCCCCACCTGAACACAGCCAGAAGGTTTATTTAAAGACACACTGTGGAACTTTTCTGGTCAGAGGCACACAACCTGCTTCTCTCCATATTGATACTTTGCCTGAAATGTTCCACACTGTGACATTAAACTTATCCATCTTGTTCCATCTTGAACCGAGTCACCTCTCCACAGATCTGACTCCAACTGTGTAGTACCCGCCTCGGTGTAGTACCCGCCTCGCTGTAGTACCCGCCTCGCTGTAGTACCCGCCTCGCTGTAGTACCCGCCTCCCTGTAGTACCCGCCTCCTGTAGTACCCGCCTCCCTGTAGTACCCGCCTCGGTGTAGTACCCGCCTCCCTGTAGTACCCGCCTACCCGCTGTAGTACCCGCCTCGCTGTAGTACCCGCCTCTCCTGTAGTACCCGCCTCGCTGTAGTACCCGCCTCGGTGTAGTACCCGCCTCGCTGTAGTACCCGCCTCGCTGTAGTACCCGCCTCGCTGTAGTACCCGCCTCGGTGTAGTACCCGCCTCGGTGTAGTACCCGCCTCGGTGTAGTACCCGCCTCGGTGTAGTACCCGCCTCGCTGTAGTACCCGCCTCGCTGTAGTACCCGCCTCGCTGTAGTACCCGCCTCGCTGTAGTACCCACCTCGGTGTAATACGCCGGGGGAGGGCAGAAGAAGCTGACCCCGGCCTGGCTCATGCTCTGGGCGGTGGAGATGATGTCGTTGGTGTAGAGGCCGATGTGCTGGACTCCTGCTCCTCTGTGCTGCTGCAGGAACTGGTCCACCTGGTTACGACCTGAAAGTGTAAGAAAGAGGAACAAAACCTAATGAATATGACAATAATGACAAAGACTCTTCAACGTTTCCTGTGATGTTACTGTGACGTGTGGTCGTGTTCAGGCTGAGAGCTCTGGGAGAGCGGAGAAAAGAGAAAACTTGTAGATTTCCACTGATACTTCGTTTGTTACACATTTAGAAACCAAACAATGCAGGTTCATTGGTTTGAAAATAAAAGTAAATGCACTGACATTTGTCAGTATTATATTTGTCAATGTCGTTATATTTGTTTCTGGATCAAGAAGTGTGTGTGATCCATCTATCCTTTATCTGAGGTCGTGTCCCGGAGGCAGCAGGGACTTCCAGACGTCCCTTTACACGGACACTTCCTCCAACTCTTCTGGGGAGACTCTGAGGTGTTCTCAGGCCAGCCCAGAGACATAATCCCTCCAGCGTGTCCTGGGTCTGTCCATGTGTTCTGGAGGAGGAACACCTCCTGAGGGAGGCGCCCAGGAGACAACCGGACCAGATGCCCACGTCACCTCAGCTGGTTCCTCTCCACGAGGAGGAGCTCAGCTCCTCTTCACCACAACGGTCCGATACAGCGACCACATCTCTGCTGACACTGCACCTGTCCACCTGTCAATCTCACGCTCCGTCCTCCCCTCACTCGAGAACAAGACCCTGAGATACATGAACTTCTCCACTTGAGGCAGAGACTCTCCACCCGCCCAGAGACGACAAGACACATTTTTTCAGTCAAGAACCACGACCTCAGATTTGGTGGAGCTGATTTTTACATTCGGCTCAAACCGCCCCAGTGCTGCAGGTCCTGGTCTGATGAAGCCAACAGGACAACAAAAACACTAACCTATCTCCATCCTCCATGGTGCTAAATCTAAATCGTACATGAAATAGAGATGAAGAGCACAGAGGAGTGTGTGTCCATTAAACAGCTCTGTAACAACCTGAGATGTTACAGTACAATATAAATAAAGAGGTGTCACCATACGGCGCTAAAAAGTACTACAGCATTACTACACTTCTAATTCTGACTGTTACAAATGGACAAGTTTTAGTTGAAGTGTTAATGATTTGAACAGGAGTAAAAACCTTGTTCTGGGAGAGACTCTGCGATGACAAACTTGCAGTCTGGCTCCCTCTGGTGGACGGACGGCAGAGTTAGACCCTTTTCACTGCACCTCCAGTACTCCATCGCTGTGAGACGCAGACCGATGCCCTCCTGGTCCAGCACGAAACCCTCCTCTGGGTCTTCATTACTGATGGAAGGAGAAGGACGCAGAGGAGAAGGTCAGAGGAGTAGAGGAGAGGGTCAAAGAAGAAGATGAGAGGGTCAGAGGAGCAGAGGATGAAGAGGACAGGGTCAGAGGAACGGAGGAGAAGTTCAGATGGAGCAGAGGAGAGGGTCAGAGGAACGGAGGAGAGGGTCAGAGATGCAGAGGAGAAGTTCAGGTGGAGCAGAGGAAAGGGTCAGAGAAGTAGGAGATGGTCAGAAAATCAGAGCAGAGGGTCAGAGGAGCAAAGAACGAAGAAGTGGGGGTCAGAGGAGCAGAGGAGAGGGTCAAAGTAGTAGAGAAGTTCAGATGGAGATGGAGAAGAGGAGAAGAGGAGAGGGTCAGAGAAGAAGATAAGAAGTTCAGAAGACCAGAGGAGCACAGTCAGAGGAGCACAGAAGGTCAGAGGAACAGAGGACAGGGTCAGAGGATGAAGAAGAGAGGGTCTGAGGAGCAGAGGAGAAGAGGAAAGAAGAAGGGAACGTCAGAGGAGCAGAGGAGAGGGTCAGAGGAGGAGAGGAGAAGTTCAGAGAGAGTCAGAAGACCAGAGGAGACAGTCAGAGGAGCACAGAAGGTCAGAGGAACAGAGGACAGGGTCAGAGGATGAAGAAGAGAGGGTCTGAGGAGCAGAGGAGAAGTTCAGAGAAGTAGGAGAAGGTCAGATGGAGCAGATGAGATCTTTACCTGCCTATGAAGAACCTTTTAAACCCGAACAGCTTCTCGTACCACTCCATGACGTTGTGCGTAAACCTCCTCGGACACGCGTACGTGATGTGATCGAAATGCGTCACCGGGCACGTGGGGTCATCCTCGTCTTTACCCGCGTCTCCGATCACTTTAAACCCGGGCAGAAACCCTCCCTCGTACCCGGACTTGTCTATCAACGTGTGGCACACATTCCCCACGATGGATTTGACCACGGAGTACGTCACCGCGCCGCTGTCATCGCGCACGGTCGTGGGAGGGACCAGGAACTTGCAGCCCAAATTACGCAAAGTCTTGAATGACCTTTGCGCATTTTCGACTTCAAAACACACATTTGCAACCGTGTCCACCGAGTAACGAGGAGTTATATCGTAAAGACATTTTGACACACTTTCCTGGTTGAGTTTTCCGGCATGAAAATCGTGAAAATTCGGCTCGTCGCGTTCATTCAGTCGCGTTTTACCCAAATCCGGCCGCTCGTTCACGACGAAAACCGCTCGTCCCTTCTTAAACGCGAACTGTCTGGATTTGTCGTTGAGTCTGGCCGCGAAGAGGTTGAATTTGAACTTAGAAACGAGCTCGCCGGCGATTTTATCCGCGTTGGAGACGTGCAGAGAAATGTGGTGCAGGCGCTGGACGTACGCGGCCATGTTCGCGTGACGTTTGGACCGAGGGGGCGTAGCCGGAAAAGGAAGGGAACGCCCACAAACACGAGGAAAGTCACGTGGTACTCACTAACATAAAAATAAGATAGTAATATTGTAGTTTTTAAGTTTGGCTACTTCTGTTCAAATGATTCTAGTGAAGGTTATGGAATTAAAAAAACAAACAAAAAAACATAGTGGCGCTCTTCTTGTTTTACCAGTTGATGACATCACAAGGTGGAACAGTGTGTTTACCTTTTCAGAGAAGAACTCAGCCTAAATATGGAGGGTTTGCGAGTTAAATTTGTGTGTGTGAATGGAACAAAACACAACTCCAGATCTGTTTATGACGAAGAAACAACTTTTTAAAGAAGCCACTGAAAAACAACTAAGCCACTCCTTTTTTTTTTTTAGAATTTATTATTACCATTTATATTTTTTTACTCTTTGTTATTACTGTGTCCAAATAATTTCCCTTGTGGATCAATAAAGTTTGTCTAAGTCTAATAAGTCTAAGTAAATTCTGTATTATTGCAAAATAAATAAAATAAAATAAAGTTTAAAAGTCTATGCTTGTGTGTTAATCTTTTTTTTTTTTTTCAATTACATTTTTTTGTTTTAGCTTTAGTGACAACATAATATTTGTTATGCTTATTTTTGTTTATTTATTCATTCATTTATTTTTAAAATATTTTTTTCAATTTGTTCAGTGCAGTATTTGTTGTTTATTTTTATTTATTTATTTATTTTAGTGACAATGCAATATTTGTAATGTTTATTTTTCTTTCTTTGTTTATTTTAGTGACAATGCAGTATTTGTAATGTTTACTTTTCATTATTTATTTATTTATTTTAATGACAATGCCTTATTTGTAATGTTTATTTTTCATTATTTATTTTAGTGACAACGCTGTATTTGTAAAGTTTATTTATTTTTTATTCATGTATTTATTTTTATTTATTTTTTAGTGACAATGCAGTATTCGTAATGTTTATTTTGGTTTATTTATTTATTTTTTCAATTAGATTTTTTGTTTGGATTGTTTTTCTCTCTCTCTCTCTTTTTTTTTTTTTTTTTTTTTAGCTTTAGTGACAATGCCGTATTTGTAATGTTTATTTATTTATTATTTATGTATTTATTTTATTTATTTTTTTAGTGACAATGCAGTATTTGTAATGTTTATTTTTGTTTATTTATTTATTTTTTCAATGAGATTTTTTGTCTGGATTGTTTTCTTTTTTTTTTTTTTTTTAGGTTTAGTGACAATGCCATATTTGTAATGTTTATTTATTTATTATTTATGCATTTATTTTTTAGTGACAATGCAGTATTCGTAATGTTTATTTTTGTTTACTTGTTTATTTTTTCAATTAGATTTTTTGTCTGGATTGTTTCTCTCTCTGTCTTTTTTTTTTTTTTTTTTTTTTTTTTTTTTTTTTTTTTTAGCTTTAGTGACAGTGCCGTATTTGTAATGTTTATTTATTTATTATTTATGTATTTATTTGTATTTATTTTTTAGTGACAATGCAGTATTCGTAATGTTTATTTTTGTTTATTTATTTATTTTTTCAATGAAATTTTTTGTCTGGATTGTTTCTCTTTTTTTTTTTTTAGGTTTAGTGACAATGCCATATTTGTAATGTTTATTTATTTATTATTTATGTATTTATTTGTATTTATTTTTTAGTGACAATGCAGTATTCGTAATGTTTATTTTTGTTTATTTTATTTATTTTTTCAAAATGAAGATTTTTTGTTCTGGATTGTTCTCTCTTTTTTTTTTTTTTTTTTAGCTTTAGTGACAATGCCATATTTGTAATGTTTATTTATTTATTATTTATGCATTTATTTTTATTTATTTTTTAGTGACAATGCAGTATTTGTAATGTTTATTTTTGTTTATTTATTTGTTTTTTCAATTAGATTTTTTAGTTTGGGTTGTTTTTCTCTCTCTCGTCTTCTTTTTTTTTTTTTTTTAGCTTTAGTGACAGTGCCGTATTTGTAATGTTTATTTATTTATTTATTATTATTATTATTAGATTTTTTTTGTTTAGATTGTTTTTCTATTTTTAAGCTTTATTTATATTTATTTTAGTTAGTTTTTTTATTCATTTCCTAATCTCTCTCTCACACGTGACGCGCCGCTCCGCCCCGCTCCGCATCGCTCCGCTCCGCTCCGCGTCTCATTCGCTTCCGCCGCCATTAAACTCCGCTCCGCGCACCGCGATGTCTCAGCCGCGTTCCCCCGCACTTCTGACATGATCCCGGGCCTCCGCGGAGCTCACCCGGCCTCGGAACCGACCCACGGAGGTTCTGCGCGTCCACGGACCCGAACCATGTGAGGAGCTCCGGCGGGATCCAGGCACAGCGGGCGAAGGCAGAGCGCGTAGCCGGAGAGAGGAGGAGGCGCCTCGGCTTCGCTTCAGATTGGCCCCCGGTCGGATTGTGGTGCTTTTCGGGAACTCTCGCGAAATGGTAAGTGACATGGCCATTTTGCGTAAACTTTGCATATTATTTTACTCATTTTAAACGCGAAACGTTGTCTTTTGTTCACTGAAAACTCGGTTATATTCGCAAACAAACGTAAACATTGCTATTGCTGAGTATTGCACCATTATGTTTGTGTTTTTAGGCACATGTAGCTAAGTTTTGTAACATGCTAAAGCTAATAAACATTGGTAACATGTAATCACGATTTAATAGCACGAAGTTTTACCTCAGAAATGAAATATTATTGTATTTCAAACTGCTGTATGTTTAATTTTATGTCAAGTTTATACTGAACGTAAAAATAGTGACAAATATTACTCGGCATTATTATTTAAATCTAATATTACGTAAAATTTACTCTGAAGTCGTGTTTTAATGTTGTTATCTCCTCAAAAACAGATCTGGAGTTGTGTTTTGTTTCATTTACACGCTAAGTTTGAGTAATACTTTTTTATTAGTAGGGGTGTGCAAAAATATCGACATATCGTTATATCGTATCGTTTAATGTGATGGTACGGTATCGATATCGCGGGCTGCTGTTTCGATACATCGCCAAGAGTATTTTTTTGGTGTATTTTACTAAATAATTTTGTTACAGCACTACAGTTTTGTTGTTTGTTTTTGTGGAAGGAAACTTGTTTATGCAGCACATTAGGGCGGCGCGATTATGGAAAAAATCTTTATCGTGATTATTCAAACGATTATTTTTTGTTATATGATACATTTATTCAGCAATTCTATAACACTTTGTTTTTGATCATTTATGCAAAACTTTCAAATTGAAAATAAATATAGGCTACAACATCTGTACCTTAAAGCAGTTTTGCGATGTATAAAACATGAAATAAAGCATAAAAAACACAAATTTATCCAAAATAGTCTATATATCCAGCTGTTCTACAATCTTATTTATATTTAAGAATATCCCAAAATAAACTTTGTTAAGCTTTAGGGTGCACTCACACTAGGGCCTCGTCCACACTATTTCGTATTTGAGTCGTTTTCGTTGTGGTTGCAGTGTTCGTTCTCAATAATCCGATGGAAAACGGCTCCAGAGACGAAACGATCTGGTGCCTCCAGCTCCCACGAATTCATCCGAGTACAGATCTGATCTGGCACCGTGTGGATGCCTGAAAACACTAATACTCTGATGTAGGTCTGTGCGCCGCAAAGTAATTCACCGCTAAAACGCTAAGAAGCTAGAATATCTGTCCATTCATATAAACGTGTGTCTGTGTGTACGACTTGCAGACGTATAATCTCTGAAAAAGTTTCACATGAACCATCTCCAACACGACAGAAACACAGAACAGACTCACCATCAGCAGAACACTCCTCTTTAGTCCAACAGAAGCTGAACCGCATCGACGCACAATAGTGAGCTGTTTTTTGAGCGCTCAGTTTATGCAAATGAGCCGTGTGGTTTTAAGTTTTGTTTCTGTAAAACGTAAACAAATATCCTCAAAGCTGCGTGGTTAGGGGAAGACTTGCGGACCGAGAATCGACGTGTCTTGACGCAGCTCGTTTCCGATACGGTGATACGTTTCAGTGTAAACGGGGTCTAGGACTTTAGAACCGTGCCGTGCGAAAACCGAGGACGGTTTGAGCACGGCAAATCGTTTCGACTCGATTATATGAGTTTGACGCACAAATCGAAATTGTGATCAAAATTCCATTAATTGCACAGCCTTAAAACACATTTGACATTTTCACCGTTCTGAGGATTAAAATTGGCGTTTTTCATATTAATTTTGACTTTTAGTATCACAGTCATGATTTCGTAAGATTTGTATTGTAGTATTTTATTTTATTTTATTTTCATCTCCAAAGCTCAAACTACTCTTCCACCCTGTGATGTCATGAAGTGGTATTTTTCCAATTTTACAGCTCCTTTTACCTTTTTAATTCTGTAGAAATTGGCAATTCCGGTGAAGGCGTATGGAGTTTAAAATCCCAGTGGAGCACTTCCTTTATTTCCACGTTACATCACAAGGTGGAACGGAGTGTTTTCTGTTTTAAAAAAATGCATATATTTTAGTAAATTTGCAGGATTTGTGTGTTAAACGTGTGCGAATGAAACAAAAACAAAACTCCAGATCTGTTTGTGACGAGGAAACTTATAATAAAGATCAGAAAATAATGTAATACGAGCCCTTTAAAATATCAATAACAAAAATATTAAAGTTTTGGTTTTAAATTTTCACATATTGTTTTAGAAATTACACTGGAAATTATTAAAAAACAATATAAAAATTAAAATATAGCTGTAACTTTTTTGTCGACGTTGCTTTTTAATATTTCTGTAGCCAGTGTGAGATTATTTTTAACAACAGAAGACGTCACGGTGAAAATATTAAAGAGATAAATAAAAGTACAGTCGGGACATGTGGTTTTGTGTTTATCTGAATGACATGACGTAACCACGGCGACGTGTAAACAAAACACTGGGCTGAGCTCCATCGTTTAAAACGCAATTAAACTGTAAAACAAACAACAACAACAACGAGGAAACTAAACCAGGACTAAAATAAGACTAAACCAGGAACTGAACCAGGACTGAACCAGGACTAAAATAACCAGGACTAAACCAGGACTAAACCCGGACTAAAAAAAGACTAAACCAGGACTAAACCCGGACTAAAAAAAGACTAAACCAGGACTAAACCAGGACTAAAATAAGACTAAACCAGGACTAGACCAGGACTAAAATAAGACTAAACCAGGACTAAACCAGGACTAAAATAAGACTAAACCAGGACTAAACCAGGACTAAACCACGACTGAACCACGACTGAACCAGGACTGAACTAGGACTGAACCAGGACTAAAATAAGACTAAACCAGGACTGGACCAGGACTAAACCAGGACTAAACCAGGACTGAACTAGGATTAAACTAGTACTGGACCAGGACTAAACCACGACTAAACCAGTTCGGAACCAGGACTAAACCGGGACTTAACCAGGACTAAACTAGTACTGAACCAAGAATAAACAGGGACTAAATGGGGACTAAATCAGGTCTGAACCGGGTCTGAACCAGGACTGAACCAGGACTAAACCAGGACTTAAAGGCACATTGTGCAGCTTTAATTTCAATCCTTAACTTCCCTTTGTCGTCCTTTGTTCCTCTTCACTGCTCAAACTCGTCTGAAATCTAGTCCTGGTTTAGACCTGGTCCAGTCTAGACTAAGGATTAGACCTGGTTCAGTTCTGGTTCAGTTCTGATTTAGTCTTTGTTTACATGTGGTTTGGACCTGGATAATCTTACAATAGACCTGCCTGTTGTCCTTTTAGTTTTATTTAATTGTATTTATTTTAATTGAAATCTTCTTCTATATAATTTTTTAAATATTTTTATCACATTTTAATTTTTTTTTTGTATTTAATCATTATCAGAATAGTTAAATTTGAACTTTTATACAATTTAGGAAAATCCGGTAGCTTTTAAATTATTTTGTATAGTAAAATTTTTAAACAAAACTCAAATTTGTCCAAAAGTTTGCCGTGTTTTTATTTATTTTTTACATAATTTAATGTATCAGAATCAGTATTTTGCTTTTTCTGTTTCAAACTCAATTTCGATACTGAGGAATAAACTCGATACCGATTCCGATCCTACGGTGAGTTTATCGAGTAACAGCAGAGATTCCAGTTGAAGATTTTTCTGTAAATGATTCCCGGACCACGGAGCCGCGTAGGGAAAGGCAGATTTTCCGAGCTCAGAGAGGAACTGGGAGGAGGAGCGACGCCGGGAACTTCCTGAGCTCAAATTAAAGAGATTACTGAGGTATCCAGGAAGGTTCCGCAGTGTGGCTTTGTAAATAAATATTAACCAGGGCTGTTTGTTCTGTTACAGCTCGAGATCACGCTAAAAACATTTAGGAAAAGCTTCATTTAGAGACTTTTTAAAATATTAATACCAGCGAAAAATGAGGATCTAGTTTCGATACTAGTTTTGGTATCGATTAGTGTCTGTTTTTCGATACTTTTGACAGTCCTAATGCCAGTGTTGGAAGTAACGCGTTATAAAAGTCACTGTGCTTTTTTAACCTGGATTGAAGTGGTGGGTTTTTCATTTTTCTTGGTACAAATTTGCTAAAATCACAGCGAGATCGGCAATGTTAGTCCTGGTTTAGACCTGATTTAGACCTGATGTAGTCCTGGTTCAGCTCTGGTTCAGCTCTGGTTTAGTCCTGATTCAGTTCTGGTTTAGTCCTGGTTTAGACCTGGTTTAGACCTGGTTTAGTCCTCAGTTTAGTCCTGGTTTAGTCCTGGTTTAGACCTGGTTTAGACCTGGTTTAGACCTGGTTCAGACCTGGTTTAGTCCTGGTTTAGTCCTGGTTTAGTCCTCAGTTTAATCCTGGTTCAGTCCTGGTTCAGTCCTGGTTTAGACCTGGTTTAGACCTGGTTTAGACCTGGTTCAGACCTGGTTCAGTTCTGGTTTAGTCCTGGTTTAGTCCTGGTTTAGTCCTCAGTTTAATCCTGGTTCAGTCCTGGTTTAGACCTGGTTTAGACCTGGTTTAGTCCTGGTTTAGTCCTCAGTTTAGTCCTCAGTTTAGTCCTGGTTCAGACCTGGTTCAGTTCTGGTTTAGTCCTGGTTTAGTTCTGGTTCAGTCCTGGTTTAGTCCTGGTTCAGTTCTAGTTTAGTCCTGGTTCAGTTCTGGTTTAGTTCTGGTTCAGTCCATATACGGTGCAAAAGTTCTGCATCTTCACAGTTATTTTCTTGAGAATATCTTAAAAATGCTGTAATAGTCGTGTAATATTTTACATTTTAAACGCAGTAATATTGTAAATTAACAAATCACTTTGAAACGACAGTAACAAGTAAAAAATAAATAACACATTTACAGTTTTGAAGTAAAACTGTGGCTTTAGTTTCGTTTGTTTGAGAATAAAGTCTTTTTTCTCTCTGTACGTCTGTTCACTTGTGCAGTCGCTGTTGACTTAGGGAAATGCCCGAGTCACTTTTAGAACACAGTCAAACTTACTCAGCAGTGACGCCGCCAAAACGTCCACCGGAGCTGAAATATGCAGTTTTTTGTTTTGTTTTTTTAATCTAGAAATGTTCACGATGCACAAAAACGTGACTGAAATCTGAACCGCTAAACAACGAGAATCCCACGTGTTTCAGAACATGTTTGCAGAGGAATTTTTGAGCAATGATTAACTATATATATATTAAAAAAAAAAAGTAGGTGACAGAGCTACTTGTTACACCTTTTAAAATGTTAAAATACTAAATACTACAAATATATAATAGGGTTGTCAAAAGTATCAAAAAACAGCTATGAATCGAAACTAGATCATCGTTTGAAAATCACAGTATTTTTGTTTTCATGGCACCAGAATCGGTTTTTGTCTGTTCCAAAATCAGGTTTGAAATGTTAATATTGTGACGACACAAGTGCAGCTGATAATTTGCAGCTGATAATTTGCGGCCGACGTCGTCAACATTCTCTGGGGGAGTGATTCTAACTTTAGGCACTCGTGGTGTAATGGTACAAAAATCTGAGTTCGGTTCATACTTTGGTTTTGAGGTCACGGTCCGATTTATTTTCGGTTGTTTTGGAACAAAATGTAAAACCATTTGCTTGTTGTTTATTTGTGTTTTTATTAAACCAACAGTTTGTTTTAACATTATACACACGGAAAATAAAATAAATAAGTGCTGCTTGGTAATACTAATAAGTTACATAAAATATTCTCAAATAAGCAACGAATGTTTGAAAAATAAAAAAATAAATTCCTTGTAAACAGTAAACAAAACTTTTCCAAAAGTGAAGTGCAGCACTAACAGTTCCAGCATCAAGTTTTACTCAGTCTTCAGATTTTTGGCCAGAAAAACAAACTTGTCCACATTGTTCACATTGTTGTTGTGTTAAGTGTAAGTGCAGATGTGCTGCAGGTTTGTTAATGGAGGCGAGGGTGGAAATTCTGTGCTAGTGAAAGGCAAGAGCGAGGGCCACGGCGCGACGACCGTAGTTTTGTGAGGATTCACGTGGTCAAGAGGGATGTAGTCAAAGTGGCCACTCTAACTATAAAGCGCTGTGGGAAATAGGGATGGGCATGATTAGTCGATTAATCGATAATTGATCATTAAGAATTTCATCGATTACGTTCATTTTAATCGACAAACCAAATGTATGTTGCTGTGTGTATCGTGACCAAACAGGTGTGTACATGTGTCTCTGCATCAGAAGGAGCGAGACACAAACAGTGGGTCAGTCTGTAACGAACCGAAGCACAAATGTGAATGATGTGCAACGATGACTGTACAAGAAATTCCACGCTTTCCGTTCGGGACAAGTGTGAGTCCATGTGCACAGTGGATAAAGCAGCACATATGTTTCTGTGTCCAGTGGGAAAAAGTTTTACCAGGTGAAAGTCGCGCAATGTGGATGACGAGGCCCCGCCCCCCTCCCCCCGTACGCTGTCCTGGTTTTGACAAACACAAATCTGGTCACACTGACCTGTATTCACCTGAGTCATGTCTTTTAATCTGACAGAAATTGAACCACATCAGCGACACAAGAGCTGGAGTTTTATCTTCGCTTAGTTTATGCAAATTAGCGATGCGGTTTTAAGTTTTGTTTCTGTGAGATTTGAACAAAACTGAATTAAACACATTATAATGTCAAACGGGCTGATGTGGCTCTAGAGTCGTTACGGTTTATATGTCGTAAAGTTGAATTTATTTATGCAGATTAGTGCAGATAGTAATAATAATGATGATAATTTTAATATGAAAACGTTAATAATTAATCGATAATCGATCGTTAATTCTTCTGATGATCGATTAAGTAAATATCACCGAATGCCCGTCCCTAGTGGGAAACACTGCCCCAATCACGGACGAGTTCCTTCGGGAATATTAAAGAGTCGAGCCTCCATGTAGCTGCTCATGTATTGGAGGAATGTAAATACACACAAATTGTTCAAACTCACTTGTGCACAGCCCTGCACCGACCTGAACGTCTTGTACTGACACTATTCAGCACGAAAACATGTACCGTTACACCCCTAGTATTGAGATATGTATAGAATAATTTCCTATGCATCGCATCGGCAGCTTCTTAATGATACTCCGCTCTAATCACCTCAAAGTGTCTCTATAATAATCGTTTTTTCCATTCTCTTTTCCAGACTGAGCCGAAGTCTTCCTCCGTGATGTCCGACCAGCGGCTGAAGTGGTCGTGCGAGTACTGCACGTACGAAAACTGGCCGTCCGCCATCAAATGCACCATGTGTCGAGCGCCGCGCCCGACGCCCATCATCCAGGAGGACGCCTTTACCGCCGGACCGGACCCGGACCCGCCCCGGACCGAGACCACGACGGGCAGCGGCAGCCTCCTCATCTGCCCCGACTCCAGCGCCCGACCCCGAGTGCCCGCGAGTAGCGCCAACGAAAACACGGGCAAATGGTCCTGCCAGATGTGCACGTACTTAAACTGGCCCAGAGCGATTCGGTGCACGCAGTGTTTGTGTCAGCTCCCCAAAGCCACGAGCCCGACGGAATTCCCCACGATTTCTACTGGAGTACGTTCCGGTTCGCACTCGCCGATCGAAGAATACAACGATAGAAACAGATTAAACACGCAGTGGACTTGTGCGGCGTGTATGTACCAAAACTGGGCGAAGTCGGCGAAATGCGTGGTCTGCGACGGTCCCAAACAGCAAGAGGCGACGATAGAACGAGCGAGCATCGACGACCAGATCATAAACGAAGACGAGAGGAGCCAGCGGAGGAGAGCAGGAGGAGGAGGAGGCGGCAGCGGGAGCGGCGTGGCGGCGCAGAGGAGGTCGCCGCCGCTGGGCAGGTCGGACGGGAGGATCGAGCTGGCGGCCGGAGCGATGAGCGCCAACGAGGAGCAGGAGGTGGACCAGAAGAGGCTGAAGCAAATCCGAAACAGGATGAAGAAGCGGGACTGGCTGTTTCTGAACGCCTGCGCTGGTGAGCGACTCTGAGATCATGAGACTAAAACTCGACCACGAGGGAGTTTTGAGTTAATAATAGAAAAAAACTGAGAGTAACTTTGAACTAAATAAACATTAACCAAAACACGTCAAGAGTTCCCCATTTGGAGCTAAAAAAAATTATAATAATAAAAATAAAATAAAATAATAATCGTAATACAATAAATAAGTACATTAATTAATAAAAAAATAATAATAATAAATTTAAAAATAAATAACTAAATAAAAATATAAATAAATAAATTAACAACAACAATAATATATAAATACATACTTTTTGTGTTGATTTTTTAAATTTTTTTTAATCAATATAAAAATAATAAATGACAAATAATAAATAAATGAAAAATAATAAATAAATATAAGTAAATAAAAATGCATAAATAAATAAATAATACATAAAAACAATTTAAAAAACACGTAATAGGCCAGGTTTTCTCTGACAAATGACATTCAACATTAGTGTTTGGCACATACTGTTTTCAAGGTCTTTCTATAACTACAAAAATACATTTAAATTTGTGTTGTTGTGATACCAGATTTTTTTTGGGATCCAATCCGATACCGATACCACACCGTGGGAAGAAGTAAACTAAGGCTACTCAGTTTTGTTACAGTACAAGAGCAATAAATAAATCTACTAAAAGGCGAAAACCTCAAAAGAAAATCTAGAAGAATCTGTGTATCATTCATTCAGTCGTTTTTCAAGATAAAACCAAAAATAAGAAAACAAAAAAAAACTATTATTTTCTTCATTATTTGTCTCCAAAACCAAAATGAAAAAACAGATGATGATTCGGTTTTTTCAGTTTTTCATTTTGTGTTTAAATGAAAAATGAAAAAAACGGATAACGACCATTTTCCATTTATGTGACTTAAACCGTGATGTCGGACTGAACCAGGTCTGGGACCGAGACTGGGACTGATACCGGGACCAGACCACTACTGAGACTGGTTTGAGACTGGTTTGAGACTGGTTTGAGACTGGTTTAGTCCTGGTTTAGTCCTGGTTTAGTCCTGTTTTCAGTCCTGTTTTAGTCCTGGTTCAGTCCTGGTTCAGTCCGGCATCTCAGTTTAGGTCAGTCACAGAAACAGGAAGTTTTATTTTGAAAAACGAATGAACAAATGACACACACAGATTCAGAAGAACAACTGAGATTTTGAGAACTAAGTGAGTCAAACACGTAATGATCTTGAGTCATGAGTCGTGCTGATTTAAGCACTTATACTTTTCTAATTTGTGACTTTTTACGGCAGTGCGTGGATAAAAACATCGAGGCCTGTAAAAACACGCTCAGTCTCAGAAAACACGGATAAAAAGCTCAAGAGGAAACCCGAATGTCTTTTCTGTCATTATGAGCGTGTTTTAAGACTGTTTAACCTGTTTTGTGCGTTGGCGTTCGCATCTGCGCGTCCTCACTGTGGAAAATACAGACTGGTATCGGATCGGTGATGTGGCCTGAGTACTCGCCGATACCGATACCCGAAAACTGTGCAGTATCGAAGCTTTTGCCGTAAAGTTCCAGTAAAGGTCGCAGAACAACCCGACTTTAAATCTTTATACATTCTTACTGTGGACGGGCTCGCCTCTCCACGGATCTGACTTGTAACTCGGCCTGGCGACTTGTTCCAGTACACTTAATGCCTTACGGTTCACAGAAATGTTCCAGAGTATGGCATTAAACTTGACATACGTGTTGGATTTATTCATTTGCAGATGTTTTTATTTGTCAAAAACACCTTATTAAACATACAGCATAGCCTATGTTAGTTGGTTCGCCTCTCCACAGATCTGACCAGTAAATTGGCCCGATGTCGTCACCTCATCGTCTCCATGGGGAAGATTTAAGTTTAATGCCATAGATACTGCGGAACATTTCAGGCAACGCAAGTGGCAGACCCCGCACCAGCATCTTTAAATTATGTCAATGTTTTTAGACCCAGAAGATTATTTTATTTTAATTTTATTTTATTTTTTTAAATTTTAATTTAAATTTTTTTTTTTTTAAACTTTATTTTAACTTTATTTTTAACTTTATTTTATTTAGTTTTTAACTTTATTTTATTTTTAACTTTATTTTATTTTATTTTTTAACTTTATTTTGTTTTATTTTTTTACTTTATTTTATTTTTTTTACTTTATTTTATTTTTAACTTTATTTTATTTTTACTTTATTTTATTTTTTATTATTATTTATTTATTTATATATTTTTTATATTTATTTATTTATTTTTGTGATAATGTCCAGTATTATTTATTTTCCCCTGTTTTAAGTTGTTTACATTGTTTATGTTGTTTAAGTCGTTCTGTCCAAACGTGACACGACCTGTTCCCCGTGACCCGGGGAAATATTGACTTTTAAACGGGGTTAAAGGTCAAAGTTCACGTGGTTTCTGTTTCTGTTTTTGTGCCTCGAGGTTGAAGTTTGGTTATTTTTGTCTCTCACTTAAGATCCAGAGTTTGTCACGTTTGAGCCTCAGCCACAGGAGAGAAAGAGAAGGAGAGAGAGAAGGAGAGAAAGAGAGAGAAGGAGAGAAAGAGAGAGAGAGGAGAGGAGAGAAGAGAGAGAGAGAGAGAAAGAGAGAGAAGAGAGAGAAGAGAGAAGAGAAGGAGAGAAGAGAAGGAAGAAAGAGAAGGAGAGAGAGAGAAAGAGAGAGAAAGAGAGAGAAGGAGAGAAGGAGAGAGAGAAGGAGAGAGAGAAGGAGAGAAGAGAAGAGAGAAGAAGAGAGGAAGAGAGAGAAGGAGAGAAAGAGGAGAGAAGAGAAAGAGAGAAAGAGAGAGAAAGAGAAGGAGAGAAAGAGAAGGAAAGAGAAAGAGAAGGAGAGAAAGAGAAGGAGAGAAAGAGAAGGAGAGAAAGAGAAGGAAAAAGGAGAGGGGAAAGAGAATGGAGGGAAGGAGAGAAAGGGAAAGAGAAGGAGAGAAGGAAAGAGGGAGAAGAGAGGAGGAGAAAGGGAAAGAAGGAGAGAGGAGAGGAGTGACAAGAGAGAAGAGGGAGAAAAGGAGGAGAGAAGGAGAGGAAAGAGAGCAGGAAAGAGAAGGGAAGGAGAGAGGAAGGAGGGAGAGAGAAGAGAGAAGGAGATAGGAATGAGGGAGAGAGGAGAAGAGAAGGAGAGGAAGGAGGGAGAGAAGGAGGGAGAGAGAAGAGAAGGAGAGAGAGAGAAGGAATGAGGAAGAGAGGAGAAGAGAGGAGAGGAAGGAGGGAGAGAGGAGAAGAGAAGAGAGAGAGAGAAGAGAGAGAGAGAGAGAGAGAGAGGGAGAGAGGAGAGAGAAGGAGAGAGGAAGGAGGGAGAGAGGAGAGAGAGAGAGAGAGAGAGGAAGGAGAGAGAGAAGAGAGAGAGAGAGAGGAAGGAGGGAGAGAGGAGAAGGGAAAGGGGGAGAGAGGAGAAGAGAGGGAAAGACAAGTAGAGAGCGGAGAGGAGAGAGAAGGAGAGGACAAAGGGGAGAGAAGAGAAGAGGGGGAGAGAAAGAGAGAACGGGAGAGAGAAAGAGGAGAGTAGAGCAAAAGGAGAGTAGAGGGTCTGACAGTGCAGCGTCTGTGAGCTCTCAGAGGATAAAAGAACCACTCAAGAGAGACTGGAGAGAGAACGAGGGAGGGGAAGAGAGGGTCAGAGACACCTTCACTAGAATCAATTGGATCATTTCATTTTAGCCTGAAAACTACTATTTGGAGCTTTGGAGATGTAGACAGACTAACAATAAAGAGTTACTCAAACTTGTGAATGAAACAAAACACAAGTCCAGGTCTGTTTTTAACGAGGAAACAACATTAGAACATGAAATAACAAAATTGGATCAAAAAACAAAAAACCATACAGGTGCTCATCAAACCACAGGGCTAGATTCTTGTAAAATAGAAAAATGATGGCAGAGGCTCTGATTTGCGGTGAATTTATTTAAAAGTCACGCCAACGCGTTTCGACTACTTGGTCTTCATCAGGGCTGATTGAATGAACAGCAGGTGTGACCATTTATAAAGGGTTACGAACCCAAAACACGTGTGATAGTTAAAAACAAAACATTTTTCAAAACATTTGCGTGTTGAATCCAAGTATATTGACAACACACCATTCATAACACAACAGATAAATCACACTGTTCTGTGTAGGTTGGAGCATAGTCAACAATACATAATCCCTTAAAGGTTGTATAGAGGATTTTTTAAGGGAAGCGAAATACAGCGACCGTCCTTTTTCAAATGTTTTGCATGTGTGACACCACCTTCCTCAGTAGAAACATCTCCTCCTCCCGCCTCTTTACTCTAGAAATCACATTTGTTTACATCCAGTGCATGTTCAGAATTACTGTTGAAGTGACCTGCCTAGAAATATTTTAGCGACCGACGCGTCAGTTTTTAGACCCTTCGGACTTTCTTTTGCGGCGAACTGGTCGTGGATTCTCGTCCGCCGTCGCGACAAACTTTGTGCGAATTGCGAGGAAGCGACAGTTTGAAAAAGCCTCAAAGAACCGCTGCATAAACCACATAATCCCCGAGCGCCGACGACTCAGTTACACTAAAAATGTAGGGAGTTTGACTGACAACCTAACAGCCAATAGAAAAAGAGGGAGCCTCGTTTTCTATTGGCTGATGTTTATCTGGCCTCACTACGTCCACAACTGATAGATTTTCATTCTTTCTTTTTTTTTGGTCATCATAATTAAAAGGCCGCTGCGTCTCTGTAATGGTATTTTAAACTTTCAATAACAATTTTAAACAAAAAATAATAATCCTCCATACAACCTTTAAATTGCATAGTACACTTCAAAAATATTTTCAATAGATCATGAAGAAGAAAACACCAGTGATTTCAAAACAAAGGTAATAAAAAATACCCAGGTATTTAGTGACCAATTGTCATTAGAACATGATTTAAAACTCACAAGAGTCTAGTTTGCGTAATAATGGACCTTTTTAAACATAGACAAACATGCGTCCTCACTCTGACCTCGCGTTCAATTTTCAGACGTCGTTCATGTCTCTCTGTAACTTCCTGAAGGTTTAGTGGACGAAGACCTGGCTGCTGTGGAGGTGTTTAAAGCTTCACAAGGGAACGTTTCTTAGTTTCTCTCAGTTTTCGATCGTTGTTCGTGCGTGTTTATCTTCTTTGTCCTCCTCAGGTGTAGTGGACGGGGACCTGGCGGCCGTGGAGGCGTTTAAAGCTTCGGGGGGGGGACATTTCCCGTCAGCTCTCGGCAGACGAGGTGCAGCTGCTGAGTCGATCGTCGGCGTTCGACGTGGGATTCACCCTGGTGCATTTGGCCATTCGCTTCCAGAGACAGGACATGCTCTCCCTCCTGCTCTCCGAGGTAACAGAGGAACGAGGTGGAGCTTTGGAGATGTAGACAGACAAACGATAATAAAGGGTTTCTCTTTAACTCTTTCCCCCATGAAGACGACATTTGACGACCCCCCCTGAACCCTTAATGACGACTTTTGACACCTCCACCGTATCACTAAAGACGAGATTTGACGACCTTTAGAAAGTTTTAGTTTTTCACATTTAAACAGAGACTGTGATCGGTGGGGGCCACTACAACCCACACTAGACTGACAAATAGGATTCAAGGATATGTTTTCGCCGTTTTTTCCGAAGTTAATCGAATAGTGACGATGGTAGGTTCCGGAAAAAACACAACACGAAACACGTGCAATGGAAAGATCGCGGCGCTGCGGCGCACAGTTTTAGAAATAATGAGGAGCGGACGTATTTTATGGATGAGTTTAGAGAAAGTGACTTTTATAGATTTCAAAGTGATGATGTTGAAGTTGATTATAAAGTGGAAAACAGCGATAGCGACGGACTTTCGGGGAGAAGGTGAGAATGTCGCTGATGTGTCTGTGTGGAGTCCTGCGATATCCCAACAAACTATCTGAGTACTCGATTATGAACCAAAATTGCCCTGATCTGGATTGCGAAGGCGGTCCTTTAAAATATTCAGTTCCAAGATCGATGTATAACAGAATCGCTACAGAAAAAACGCTTATGTGGAGCTCTGCACTCGAGAAAATAGCCAAGATGACAAATACTGGACACACACTGATGGGGAAGAGTTTTATTATTATATTATTATATTATAATAAGCTAAATAAGTTGAATAAGCTAAATGAGTTGAATAAGTTAAATGGAAAAAAATTAATTGGGTGCACACAGGTGTACAACAGGTAAAAACAGGTGTACACTTGGCTATACTGTATCTGGTGATATGAAATCTGTTTAAATACTTTGACAAAGTATATTTTTTATTTTTTTATGAATATAGTACTCAGAACATGTATATATCAAATGCTGAATGTAGTTTTTTGTTTTCGAGTTTTGCACCTGACCAGGTAAACTCTCATGTTCAGTGAGTGTTATACACCTATAAATGAGTTGAATCACATTTAAACATCCATAAATGAATGTTCAGAGTCTAAGGTTTCCAGAGATACAAATATGTCTGTGTTACAATTAACATGAGTGTAAAAATCATTTATAATCACGTGGAAGTCTGTTTTCTTTTATGCAATTATGCTCTATGGGTGTAGCCCTAGTAACATATGTATGGGTTGTTCCTAGTAGGCGTCCAGGGGGGAAAGAGTTAAAACACTGAAATAACTAATTCCCTCCGTTACCGCTTGACCGGACCCCATTATCAGGATCTACAGAGTCATAAACCAGCTTCATTCAGTACTTTTCAAGGTGCATTGTGGGAAATTTTGCGCGCACGACCACCAGTTTTTCACCAACTGGACATTCGGACACTCCGGAAAACTGCGCGACTCCTAAACAGTGCACTACGTAGGGACCAGTGTGGACGTTCGGACACGGCCGTCCTCAACTGATCCGAGTAGAACGTAGGGACAAGCTTCATTTAAAACACACTGAAATAAGGAATATTTGAGACGTTTACAGTCGGGGAACGGGCTTTTCACGTTCACGGGCGACACGTTTTAGTTTGTAGCCGTGGCGCGAGCGAATTAAACTACGAGGAGCCGTGCGTTCTGTAGTTTTACCGCACTAACGCACGGATCCAAGTTGTTTAAAGGTTCCATATATTTGGTATCACAGAGTTTCGTGTGTGTGTTTCGTGTGTGTTTCGTGTGTGTGTTTCGTGTGTGTGTTTCGTGTGTGTCTTTCGTGTGTGTGTTTCGTGTGTGTGTTCCGTGTGTGTGTTCCGTGTGTGTGTTCCGTGTGTGTGTTCCGTGTGTGTGTTTCGTCTGTGTTCTGTGTGTGTGTTTCGTGTGTGTTTCGTGTGTGTTTCCTGTGTGTGTGTTTTGTGTGTGTGTGTTCCGTGTGTGTGTTCCGTGTGTGTTTCGTGTGTGTTTGTGTGCGTTCCGTGTGTGCGTTCCGTGTGTGTGTGTTCCGTGTGTGTGTTCGTGTGTGTTCCGTGTGTGTTCCGTGTGTGCGTTCCGTGTGTGCGTTCCGTGTGTGCGTTCCGTGTGTGCGTTCCGTGTGTGTTCCGTGTGTGTTTCGTGTGTGTTTCGTGTGTGTTTCGTGTGTGTTCCGTGTGTGCGTTCCGTGTGTGCGTTCCGTGTGTGCGTTCCGTGTGTGTGTGTGTTCCGTGTGTGTGTACGTTCCGTGTGTGCGTTCCGTGTGTGTGTGTGTGTTCCGTGTGTGCGTTCCGTGTGTGTGTGTTCCGTGTGTGTGTGTCCGTGTGTGTGCGTTCCGTGTGTGTGTGTGTGTGTGTGTGTTCCGTGTGTGTGTGTGTGTGTGTGTTCCGTGTGTGTGTGTGTTCCGTGTGTGTGTGTGTTCCGTGTGTGTGTGTGTGTGTTCCGTGTGTGTGTGTGTGTGTTCCGTGTGTGTGTGTGTGTGTTCCGTGTGTGTGTTTCGTGTTCTGTGTGTGTGTTCCGTGTGTGCGTGTGTGTGTTCCATGTGTGTGTTCTGTGTGCGTGTTCCGTGTGTGTGTTCTGTGTGTGCGTTCCGTGTGTGTGTGTGTTCTGTGTGTGTGTGTGTGTGTGTGTTCCGTGTGTGTGTTCCGTGTGTGTGTTCCGTGTGTGTGTTCCGTGTGTGTGTGTGTGTGTGTGTTCCGTGTGTGTGTGTGTGTGTTCCGTGTGTGTGTGTTCCGTGTGTGTGTTCCGTGTGTGTGTGTTGTGTGTTCCGTGTGTGTGTGTGTGTGTGTGTTCCGTGTGTGTGTGTGTGTTCCGTGTGTGTGTGTGTGTGTGTTCCTGTGTGTGTGTGTGTGTTCTGTGTGTGTGTGTTCCGTGTGTGTGTGTGTGTGTGTGTGTGTTCCGTGTGTGTGTGTGTGTGTGTGTGTGCGTTCCGTGTGTGTGTGTGTGTGTTGTGTGTGTGTGTGTGTGTGTTCCGTGTGTGTGTGTGTTCCGTGTGCGTCAGGAAGCAGAGGATCAGAGCAGATTATTCAGATGGACTCAGAGCTGCACGCGACGCCCTGAGGATTAAACTCTGTTCTCCACTTGAACACAGAGCAGCTCTCATAAACCACACTGGAAATAAAGTGACGAACGCCGTATTTTAAAACACGGCAAAAGAATTCAGTTTACAACACAGACATAAAGTAAATAAAAAAGGATAATAACGATACACGCGATCAACAAGAGATATTTAAACGTGCTTTCATAGTCAAACAGCAGCTCTTAAACTTCTTTATTTCTATGGATCCTGGTCAGAAAATGTTTGTGTTTCATATGAACTTTGTTGAACCACTTCTTGTGCAAAGACTTTTAGTGTCACAGTCATGATTTAAAACAGGGGTGTCAAACTCATTTTGGTTTCGGGGTCGTATCCAACCGACTTTGATCCTAAAGTGTCCGGATCAGAAAACTCATGTCATATAAACCCCAAAAATAAAAATAAGTTCAAATATTTGTGCAGAGAAACACAAATCTATTACAGAAATCTTTTTTAATTGATGAACTCTTTCTTTTACAAAATATTATAATATTATGGAAAAAAAAAAAAAGCGATTTCAATACAGTGTTTTAACCTTAACTTGTATGCAAATAGGAGTAAGTACATTTTTGTTGTAAAATCCTGCACTCGGCTCCACTTTTCTCATTTTTGACATTTTTCTGATGAGGTCATCACGGTCAACAGTCAAAACGATCGTCCTTTATGAGCGTTTGGAAAGAGACAAGTCTTCATTTGTGCTGCTCTGGTGGGAGGGGCCACGTACAGAGACGCTGGAGACGCTGCTATGCTGAGTGGAACAGAAAATTACCAATATTTTAATAGAAAAATATGATTAAAATATTTTAGTAGAAAATCAGCCGAGGGCCAGATTAAAGGTCTTGGAGGGCCGGATCCGGCCCTTGGGCCTTATGTTTGACACCTGTGATTTAAAAGAAGAAAAAACTGTGCACACATCAGCCAAGTGCAGGTGCAGGACCGAAAAAAATCAGATGAACAGGAGTAATTAAAAATCCACACACTGTTTTAAAGCTCCCAATGTGAAATTTATTGGCACAGATTCATCTAAATTTCAGGTTGGGAGCTTTAAAAAATTCTGTTCACGGTCATGATTTAGCCATTTTATTGAACCGTATCGAATCGATTTGAAATATATCGTATCGAATTGAAAGCTCACTATATCGAGATATGTACTGTATCGGTGATTTCTTAATGATTCCAGCCCTACTTATGGTCAAATAATTATACTGAAATAGGCTGTGTGTTATTCCAAAAAAAGTGATCTTCAGTATGGATAAAATATGAAAGCGGCTCTTGAGTCTCTTGAAATAAATCTGCTGTGTGTGTCTGCGTCTAATTTAGTGCTGTCAAGTGATTAAAAAAATTTAGAGATTAATTAATTTCAGATCATAATTAATTAATCTAAGTAATCTCTTTTTTTAATCTCACCTAAAAATTGCTGAGAAAAGCTTCAACTTGAGGTAATTTTCATTTGAATTCATTATTACATAATGAACATTAACATTTTTATAGAAGTATCATTATTATTACTATGATTAATCTGCATAAATAAATTCAACTTTACAACATATAAACATCATGACTCTAGAGCCACATCAGCCCGTTTGACTTTATAATGTGTTTAATGCAGATTTTCTCAAGTCTCACAGAAACAAAACTTAAAACCACATGACTCATTTGCATAAACTAAGCGAAGAAAAGAAAAAAAACAAAACAAAACGCTCTTGTGTCACTGATGCGGTTCATCTTCTACTAAAAGGACACGACTCAGTGGAATATGAGTGTTCTTTCTGTGACAGAGGGATGTTCTGCTGATGGTGAGTCTGTTCTGTTCGTGTCGCGATGTTTTCACAGATCAGACGTGTGCAGGTTTATCGCAGATGCGGCGAGAAACGGGATTGAAAATTGGGCTACAATTCTTTGCGGGAGCGAGCGGAGCAGGACTGCACAGTGCGGGACTGTGCAGATTTTATAATAAGGCGACTCGCGTACAGAAACAGTAAAGTTAGAGATTAAAAATAAGATTAACGCGATTAAAAAACATAACGCGCTAAATATGTAATTAATTCATCGCAATTAACGCAATAATTTGACACCCCTAGTCTAACTAATTATGTAATATTTTTATCATCTGCGAACCAGGAAGTAAAGCTGAAAAAAAGGTCACTCTGGTCTCTAAAAGTTGTGAAAAGTTCTTATAAACTCATCGAGGTGAATGTTTATGATATTTAGAATGTAGAAGGTAAAGTGAGGAAGAACTTTGGACGACTGCAAACTGTTTTAAATGAACTTGTTCTGTTTTAAAGTCGGTGAAAATCAGGTAGAGCGTCTTTCATCAACGTGTTTTTTCAGCTGTTTTTGTGTTTTTGTTTGCGTGTCGCAGGTGAGTCAGCAGAGGGCGAAGTTCATCCCGTCGTTAGTTTGTCCGGAGCTCACGGATCAGATCCGCAGAGAAATCTCATCGTCCTTGTACCAGAGGAAAGAGCCGGCCTGCTCCTGTCTGTCCGAACTGCACACTTTCACTCTGCCCGCAGGTGAGACGGAGAGAGAGAGAGAAGAGGAGGAGGAGAGGAGGAGAGAGGAGGAGAGAGGAGAGGAGAGAAGAGGAGGAGGAGGAGGAGAGAAGAGGAGGAGGAGGAGGAGAGGAGGAGGAGGAGAGGAGGAGGAGGAGAGAGGAGGAGAGAGGAGGAGAGAAGGAGGAGGAGGAGGAGAGAGAGAGGAAGAGGAGAGAAGAGGAGGAGGAGGAAGAAGAGGAGGAGAGAGAAGAGAGAAGAAGAGAGGAGAGCAGGAGGAGGAGGAGAAGGAGAGGAGGAGGAGAGGAGAAGAGGAGGAGGGAGGAGAGGAGGAGAGAGAGAAGAGGAGGAGAGGAGAGAGAGAGGAGGAGGAAGAGAGAGGAGAGAGGAGGAGAGGAGGGAGGGAGAGAAGAGGAGAAGGAGAAGAGGAGGAGAGAAGAGACAGAGGCGAGAGAAGAGAGAGAGAGAGAGAGGAGGAAGAGGAGAGAAGAGAAAGAGAGGAAGAGAAGAGAGGAGGAGGAGCAGAGAAGAGGAGGAGAGGAGAGGAGGAGAGGAGAGAGAAGAGAGAGAGAGCGAGGAGAGAGAGGAGAGAGGAGAAAGAGGAGAGAAGAGAGGAGGAGGAGGAGAGGAGTTTTTTTGATGCTTTTGAACGCAGCTTTAGACTTAGACAAACTTGAGCCACAAGGGAAATAACTTTGGACACAGTTTCTCACACGTCACAATATATTACAATAACAAAGAGTAAAAATATATAAAAATGGTAATAAACTTCTAAATAAGTAGCAATAAAAAAAAAAAATCAAGATAGAGATTCAGTTATTTCTAATGGTCCTTGTTCATCTTGAGTCTAGAGCCAAACCTCTGTGAGTAAAACGGTTAAGAAGGGTTAAAATATAAATCTCTCGTTGTTTGTTGTTGGTAATCCTCTTGAAATGATTTTAACGTGTTTTTATTTTTCCCTCACAGAAATCGAGGACCTGCCTCCTGCCGTTCAGGAAAAACTTTTCGACGAAGTTTTGGACCGAGACGTACAGAAAGGTAACGCACTCTTTATCCATTAAATGAGAGATACAAATGTAGGTTTATCGACTACATTTTCACCAAAAAAGTAAGGTGCAAATTGGTTTTAAAACTACTTCAATAAATAGATTTTCCCTCAAGTCCGTCCATTTTAACACATAACCGGAGGCACTGCTCTGTCTGAAGCTCTGTTACTCAAGTTTGACTTTAATCTGAGCTTTATTTTAACACAATCTGACCAGAAAGAACTGATTTATCTGAACTACAACACCTGAGCTGATCTAATCTAAACAAATCCCTCTTGTTTAATTAAAGTTTTGTTCAGGGTTCCCACGGTCATGGAAATCCTGGAAAAGTCATGGAATTTTAGTGTCTCTTTCTCGCAACTACGGCGTTCTGTTAAGTTCTCATGAGTCTGTTCTGATTATTTCTGAACGTCTGCGTCTTTTGTTTAAAAGAGACGACAGTAAATGCACTGACAGGATTTTGAATGTTAAAAAACTACAATCCCAAACCATGAGGTGAGTGGAAAGAGTTAAACATTTCATATTTAGATCCAAAAGTCTGATCAGTTCTACACATGTAGGTGCTGTAAAGTCATGGAAAATTCACTTCAGGTCATGGAAAAGTTTTGAAATTTTGTCTGTGAAAAAGAATGGGAACATTTATTTATTACAGTTACAAGTAAACCAGGGCTAAACTAGGACTAGACCAGGCTAGACCAGGACTAAACCAGGACTAGACCAGGGCTAAACTGGGACTAGACCGGGACTAGACCAGGGCTAAACTAGGACTAAACCAGGGCTAGACCAGGACTAAACCAGAACAGAACCAGGACTAAAACAGGACTAAACTGGGGCTAAACTGAGACTAAACAAGGACTAGACCAGGACTAGACCAGGACTAAACTAGGACTAAACCAGAACAGAACCAGGACTAAAACGGGACTAAACTGGGGCTAAACTGGGGCTAAACCAGGACAGAACCAGGACAGAACCAGGACAGAACCAGGACAGAACCAGGACAGAACCAGGACAAGACCAGACTAGACCAGGACAGAAGACCAGACAGACCAGGACTAGACCAGGACTAGACCAGGACTAGACCAGGACTAGACCAGGACTAGACCAAATACATTTTGTGTTTTTGTTTTTTTTCTTGCGTTTTCAGACAGTCTTAATATCTTTTTTTATTTTTTATTTTTCAAATATGCGCGTCGTGTCTCCATGGTAACTGCCGAACACTCCTCCATAGACATACACGTAGCGCCGTCAGTCCTAAAATCTGCTTTGCGTTCATGTTTCCTGGGGTCGGGGGTGTGTGTTCTGTACTGTGTTCTGTGTGTTCTGTGCGTTCTGTGTGTTCTGTGAGTTCTGTGCGTTCTGTGAGTTCTGTGAGTTTTGGGCGTTTTGTAAGTTCTGTGAGTTTTGGGCGTTCTGTTGGTGTCGTTCCCGCGGAGACGCCGCCGCAGCAGGTGGAGAGGTTCGGCCGTGTTTGTGCTTTTGTCAAGAGAATCGTAAAACGCTTTGTAATGAAATAGCTGGAGTGGGATGGGCCCTTTGAGCCGCACCGTCGCATATTTCTGTCCGATTTTGAACAGGGAGGGAAAACCTGCTTTTTACATCAGAACAGAGTGAGGTCATAAAAGTACAAACACTTTAATGTGTTTATTTTTACGATCATGTTTCACACAAAATGGATTATTGTGAGTTTTGAGTCGTGTTTTAATGCTGTTTCCTCCTCAAAAACAGACCTGGAGTTGTGTTTTTTCTGGTTTTGTTTCATTCACACATGTTTGAGTAACACTTTATTATTAGTCTGTCTATCTCAAAATGCTCTGTTCCAACTTGTGATGTCATCAAGTGGTAGTTTTCAAGTTTAGTTTAATTTTCTTTTACCTTTAGTTCAGTAGAAATCGACAATTCCAGAGCAGAAATGATCCAAATGATTCTAGTGAAGGTGTGTGGAGTTTGAAAACACAATGGAAGCACTTCCTATATCACCACTTTATGACATCACAAGGTGGAGCAGAGTGTTTTTTCCGTTTGAGAGAAGAGCTCAGTCTAAATCGGCAGAACTCCAGGTCTGTTTGTGATGAGGAAACTACATTAAAAAAGATCAGAAAATAGAGTAATATTGGCCCTTTAAAGGCTCATTAAATATGTGTGCTTAAAGCTGCACTGCGTAACTTTTCTGGTGGAGGGTCTCCTGCCTACTTGTCTCCATGGAGATGTTATTGCGTCGCCTGGAATGTTCCATGCTGTGACTTAAAACATTTCCGTCTAGCGTTTATTCATTTACGGGTGTTTCTGTCGCTCAAAAATACAGTAGTTCCTCCTGTGAGTAGGGGCGCCTCTCCACAGATCTGACCTGTAATGTAGCCTAGCGCTGTGAGCTGCTCGTCTCCCTCGTGATAAATGGGTTAAATCTACACTGCGGAACATTCCAGACAAAGCAATGACATCTCCATCGAGACAAGCATCTCTATTCACAGAAGGAATTATATTATTATTATATTATTAAATATAAACACCTGAAATGAATAAATCCAAGGACTAAACCAGGTCTAAACCAGGTCTAAACCAGGTCTAAACCAGGTCTAAACCAGGACTAAACCAGGTCTAAACCAGGTCTAAACCAGGTCTAAACCAGGTCTAAACCAGGTCTAAACCCTAAACCAGGACTAAACCAGGACTAAACCAGGACTAAACCAGGTCTAAACCAGGTCTAAACCAGGAGGTCTAAACCAGGTCTAAACCAGGTCTAAACCAGGTCTAAACCAGGTCTAAACCAGGTCTAAACCAGGTCTAAACCAGGACTAAACCAGGTCTAAACCAGGTCTAAACCAGGACTAAACCAGGACTAAACCAGGACTAAACCAGGACTAAACCAGGTCTAAACCAGGTCTAAACCAGGTCTAAACCAGGACTAAACCAGGTCTAAACCAGGTCTAAACCAGGTCTAAACCAGGTCTAAACCAGGTCTAAACCAGGTCTAAACCAGGTCTAAACCAGGTCTAAACCAGGTCTAAACCAGGTCTAACGGTTGTTGATCCTTCGTCAGGCCGTATAAAGGAGACAGGACACAGTGTGGAGTCTGTCCGCTTTATTCCCTCTGTGACATATAAATAACCAATTAATATGTCTCCGGTGTCGGCACTGACTCCCCTCCTCTGCAGTTTCCAACAAGCCACTCAGAGCGGAAGCCAAACTTACAGACTGGCTAATTTATGTAAATGTATGAACAACAAAATCATTTAAAATCTAGTGGAGCAGCTATCTAGAGAAACAAATGCACACTATTCACAAAAATAAAACAAAATAAATCATACCTGTGACATATAAATAACCAATTAATATGTCTCCGGTGTCGGCACTGGCTCCCCTCTGCAACATGAAAACAACACCGTGAGACGGATGTTCATTTTCGCGGCAATCAGCACTAGGCTATGATATTAAGCTAATAATTTTTTTTTTTCTTTACGATACAAATAAAATATATAAAACTCAAAATCAGCACACCACAAAACATTCATTACACGTAAAAGAAGTTGTCTTGTCAATGTGTTCTTGTATTTTTATTTGTGTGCTGATTTTGTGAAATATATTCTTTCATACTTGGACAGAACTCACCCTCTGCAGTTTCCAACGAGCCACTGAGAGGGGAAGCCAAACTACCAAAATAAAATACACAGGGGAGCAGTGCGGACTTCCGGGTTTTCAAAATAAAATGTTAAAACGATAAAATTCACATAAATTACAAATAAACATGAAATACAAACAAAAAAATGTGCATTTTTAACTCCGTTACACAGGACTAAACCAGGACTAAACCAGGACTAAACCAGGTCTAAACCAGGTCTAAACCAGGTCTAAACCAGGTCTAAACCAGGACAAAACCAGGACAAAACCAGGTCTAAACCAGGACTAACCAGGTCTAAACCAGGTCTAAACCAGGACAAAACCAGGTCTAAACCAGGACTAGACCAGGTCTAAACCAGGACAAAACCAGGACAAAACCAGGTCTAAACCAGGTCTAAACCAGGTCTAAACCAGGTCTAAACCAGGACTAAACCAGGACCAGGACTAACCAGGACTAACCAGGACTAAACCAGGTCTAAACCAGGACAAAACCAGGACAAAACCAGGACAAAACCAGGACAAAACCAGGACAAAACCAGGTCTAAACCAGGTCTAAACCAGGACTAACCAGGACTAACCAGGACTAACCAGGACTAAACCAGGACTAAACCAGGACTAAACCAGGACTAAACCAGGACAAAACCAGGACAAAACCAGGACCCTGTAATGAATAAATCCTAGATGAAAATGTTTAAAGTCATACTATGGAACATTCCAGACGATGCAATAACATCTCCATGGAGACGAGACGAGGCAAGGCAGGTACACAAAGTAATTCAAAGTGCTTTACAGAACAAGATATACATTAACATCACAAAACAAACGGATCAAAACATCAATAAACATCGTAAAATTAAAATTATAAGAGGGAAGAGTGTGGAATAAAAAAAACTTTCATGTTACAGGTAGCGGGCCATCCCCCAGAAAAGTTGCACAATGTAGCTTTAGTAGTAATATCCAAATTTCTCTCTGCCATATTTTCACGATATGCAGGTTTTGGGTTCATCATAAACCAAAGAGTTATGATTTAAAAGTGCTTAATAAGTAAGTTCATGGTGTAAATTGGGCTGAAACAGAGCGAAGGAGCAAAGCATCATGGTCTATGTAGTGCCGTCTGTTTCCTTTAGTGATTTCTGCAACAATAACAATGAAAGAACAAAGAAATGTGTAATTTGATTTATTGTGATGGTCCAGGATATTACTGAGAGACTTTTAACAGTAAGATCACAACATTTCTGTTATTTAATACTGACCGTGCGTTTCTGTATGTTTTTTTGTGTGTGTTTTTGTGTGTTTTCAGAGCTGGAGGAGTCCCTGGTGATAAACTGGTCTCTGGAGCTGGTCTCGGGTCTGGACTCTCGTCTCTACGCGCTGTGGAACGGCTCCGCGGGGGACTGTCTGCTGGACTCGGTGCTGCAGGCGTCCTGGGGCGTGTGCGACACCGACTCTGTCCTGAGGAGGGCGCTGCACCAGAGCCTCAACCACTGCTCCCACTGGTGAGACACAAACACCAACGCGCCGCACATGACCGACGATTATACACACAGAGGGGAGAGGGAGTGTGTCTGTCGACGAGTTTCACAAACCACAGGCTCCTGAAAATGTGCCGCTGAACATTCAATCAATCAATCAATCAACAACTTTATTAATCCCAAAGGGCAATTCAGTTCGCACATCTCTGGTCATGCACAATATATAAATATAAATAATAAAGAGAAAGAAAGACAGACACCAGACGTTCGAACCTCAGAGCATCAGGGACACAGCAACAAATTCACTTTCCGTTTAAAATCCTTATGGCAGAAGGAATAAAAGATTTGGTGTAGCGGTTAGTCCTTTGCCTGTGGGGTGACATAGCGCCTCCCAGAGGGCATCTTCACGAACTGTGAGTGCAGAACATGGTTAGTCTGGCTCAGTTTGGCCTTAGTCTTTTGTAACACCCGATGTCTCCACACAGACGCCAAATCCTCCGTCTGAACACCACTGATTTTGCTGCAAACTTTTACAATCTGGTTCAGACTGTTCTCGTCTTTCACAGATAATCCATAAAACCAACAGATAAAAGAAAAGGTCAACAAACTTTCAATAAAAGAATGATAAAAATTATTTAAAATATTAGACGATACATTAAAAGAGCTGAGCTTCTGCATCAAGTGAACCCGCTGCTGTCCTCATTTGACGATGTGCTCAGTGTTCTTATCGAACCTTAAAGAGGAATCAAACACAGTTCCCAAGTACTTATAAGAGTCGACCATTTCTATGGCTTCTCCATGGATGGAACTGGCTGTTGGGCTGTGGACTTTTTTCCGGAAGCTCGGCCATGGTCAGAGTTTACTCCCTGCAGGAGAGAGAGGAGGACAGTATCATCTGAAAACTTGATCATGTAGCTGCCCTCATTTGCGGACCTACAACTGTCTGTATACAAAATATAGAGCAGCGGAGACAGAACACATTCTGCTATAGAAATACACGCAGAAACCCCCAGCACGATGTTACTACGAAGTATCACTACAGCAAGTTTTTGGGTTTGTGACTAATAGTACAAACCAGGGGTGTAACGGTTCGTGTATTTGTGCTGAATCATTTCGGTGCAGGTCTGTGCACGAGTGAGTTTGCGCAATTTGTGTGTGTTTACATTTCACCGCGACATGTGCAGCTCCACAGAGACTCGGCTCTTTAATATTCACGAGGGAACTTGTGATTGGGACAGTGTTTCCCGCAGAGCTTTACTGTCAGAGCGGCCGACTTCACAATATCTGGGTTTTCACGTGACGTCACGGGGCTACGTTTGTCAGCGCGCGAAATCAGATGGAGGGCAGGAAGTGAACCGACTGGAGGAAGCTCCTGAGACACTGTTGTGCTTTTGTCTGGAAAGTGCCTTTGTGTTGTGTAGTTTACAGCTGTGCCAATTGTTCTAACCGAGAAAAGGAAAAGCGATTTTTTTTTTGTTTTTTTGTTGTTTTTTTTAGAGTACCGAATAGGGATGGGCATGATTAATCGATTACGTTAATTTTAATCGACAAACCGAATGTATGTTGCTGTGTGTATCGTGACCAAACAGGTGTGTACATGTGTCTCTGCATCAGAAGGAGCGAGACACAAACAGTGGGTCAGTCTGTAACGAACCGAAGCACAAATGTGGATTTAACCATGATTTGTACAAGAAATTCCACACTTTCCGTTGCGTTGGGACAAGTGTGAGTCCATGTGCACAGTGTATAAAGCAGCACATATGTTTCTGTGTCCAGTGGGAAAAAGTTTTTCCAGGTGAGAGTCGCTCAATGTGGATGACGAGGCCCCGCCCCCCTCCCCCCGTACGCTGTCCTGGTTTTGACAAACACAAATCTGGTCACACTGACCTGTATTCACCTGAGTCATGTCTTTTAATCCGACAGAAATTGAACCACATCAGCGACACAAGAGCTGGAGTTTTATCTTCGCTTAGTTTATGCAAATTAGTGATGTGGTTTTAAGTTTTGTTTCTGTGAGATTTGAACAAAACTGAATTAAACACATTATAATGTCAAACAGCTGATGTGGCTCTAGAGTCGTTATGTTTATATGTCGTAAAGTTGAATTTATTTCAGCAGATTAGTAGTGCAGATAGTAATAATAATGATGATCATTTTAATATAAAAACGTTAATGATTAATGGATAATCGATCGTTAATTCTTCCGACGATCGATTAAGAAAATTTCATCAAATGCCCGTCCCTAGTACCGAAGACAGTCGTCCACAAAGGTCAGAAATGGGAAAAGCTGACAGAACAGCGCCGTAAAAAGTGGATCACAAACCTGTTTTTACGGTCGGGAGGAGCAGAATCCGCAAATTATTAACAACTAACGGCTAACGACGTTTGTTGACATTAAATAGTTCAGATAGAGGTCACTGCCGATCACTGCAGTTTTTCCCATAACGGTCGATACACATAAAATAAGAGAAACACTCACCCCGGCGAAGACCAAACCATAATCATCAATTAGGTGTTTTGCACCAAGGTTGTGGACACATCCACTGACAAAAAAAGTGATATTCTTCCAAACTTCTGTACGTCTTCATCTGCTGTCTGGTGTAGAACGACGTCTGGAGAAGGTAGTTTGTGATATCCACTGCCTTGATTGTCGGCAAGTCGAAAATTCACAAATTTTTATAAGCTAGAGGGTCATGTCCAATATATTTGTTGACTAACTGCTCGTACCTTTGCCTCGCTACTGGCTTTAAATCCTGACAATAAGAACTCTCCTCCGTATCTGTGTTCTCCATAGTCGTGTTTGTCGTGTTTGTCTTCACTTCCTGCCCTCCACCTGAAATTCGTGCGTCATTGTGATCACGTGACTGAAACCCTCCTATTGCCCCTCGCCTTGTCTACGTCCCTCCGAACCACAAAAATCCTCACAAAACTACGGTCGTCGCGCCGCGGTCGTCGCTTTCGACTTTCACTGGCACGGAATCTCCATTTCCCCCGAACCTGCGATCTCTGTCCCAAGTGAAAGTGTATTTTTTTTTTACCTCTGGGTACGGAAGCCGAGAGGGGTCACAACAAACGCAAACGCCACAACAAATACAAACACGACAACACGACAAAAAGCCACAACAAACCAAAAAAAGCCACAATGGAAATCACCACGGGACTCTATTTTAATGCAAACTGTACAAACGCAACACATTAAAAAGCCACAACGGAAGTGACCGCGAGACTGTATTTTCCGACGGACCGATCAAGCGGCAAGTGAAGAAGAAGAACTACAACGTGAAACGAATAATGATAAAACAATAAATTACTTTTACTTACGTTTCCAACTTCTCCGTTCCTTTACTTTTCACGTTGTAGTTCTTCTTCTTCACTTGCCGCTTGATCGGTCCGTCGGAAAATAGAGTCCCGCGGTCACTTCCGTTGTGGCTTTTTAATGTGTTGTGGCATTTGCGTTTGTGTTGTGGCGTTTGTATTTGTTGCGGCGTTTGCATTAAAACAGAGTCCCGCGGTCATTTCCGTTGTGGCTTTTTAATGTGTTGTAGCTTTTAATGTGTTGTGGCCTTTTAATGTGTTGTGGCTTTTAATGTGTTGTGGCTTTTTAATGTGTTGTGGCTTTTTAATGTATTGTGGCTTTTTAATGTGTTGTGGCATTTGCGTTTGTGTTGCGGCGTTTGTATTTGTTGCGGCGTTTGCATTAAAATAGAGTCCCGCGGTCATTTCCGTTGTGGCTTTTTAATGTGTTGTGGCTTTTTAATGTGTTGCGGCATTTGTGTTTGTGTTGTGGCATTTGCGTTTGTGTTGTGGTGTTTGTATTTGTTGCGGCGTTTGCATTAAAATAGAGTCCCGCGGTCATTTCCGTTGTGGCTTTTTTTTTTTGGTTTGTTGTTTGGCTTTTTGTTGTGTTGTCGCATTTGTGTTTGTTGCGGCGTTTGCGTTTGTTGCGACCCCTCTCGGCTTCCGTATCTGAGGACGTTGTAACTGCAGCTGAACTTACTGCAGACAATGTGGACACGTTAGTTTTTCTGGCCAAAAATATGAAGATTGAGTAAAACTTGATGCTGGAACTGTTAGTGCAGCAGTTTTACTTTTTGAAAAGTTGTGTTTACTGTTTACAAGGAATTTATTTTTTTATAATATTTCAAACATTTGTTGCTTATTTGAGAATATTTTAGGCTAGGTTTATATGATGACGCAAAAGTGGCATCGCGTCTTCACTTTTTATTCCGCGTTTAGACAAGCGTTTTCGGGAGGAAGTCTGTGTGCATACTGTGCCGCAAAAGTGTGTGGAATTTGGTGCATGCCGTCCGTCATGTTTGTTTCTGTGTACTATATGTTTGTGACGTGAGCAGATCTGAGCAGAGTTTTGCGTCTTGGGCAGTGTAGACGGAAACACTACGGTGGAGCGCGTTTAACTTTTCCACTCTGGAGGGTGGATTCAGATTTTTGCGTTTTTAATCCCTCAAAAACGCCGTCACCGTCTAAACAAAAGACACTTCTGGTAAAATATCTTGTCGTTTTTACGTGCGAGTGTTGCAGCAGTTTGCATTTATTTTATTTTCCCGTTTGTATAATGTTAAAACAAATTGATGGTTTATTAAAAACATAAATAAACGGTAAGCAAATGGTTTTACATTTTGTTACCAACTGAACCGAAAATGAACCGAACCGTGAGCTCAAAACCGAGGTACGAACCGAACTGTGATTTTTGTACCGTTACTCTCCTGGTCCAGATGAAGTCACAGTGTGAGTCTCTTTCCTCCATCTGAGGGAGCGACATCATCACACTGTAGAATCTGAAAACCACCACTGGGACGTTTTATCCATAAATATATTTTGTGCCAGAGCCTTAATCTGCAGACAGAGACACGTCCACGAGTCATGATGGTGCAGGTGCTGGGGTTTAGTGGAGACAGTTCAGCTCAGAGACACATTTTAGATTAGTGATGTTGGATGAGACCTCAGGTTTAAAACACTGTAGACCAGGCTTGTCCAAACTACGGCACGTGGGCCAAATGCGGCCCTCAGACAAATTTTTTTTGGCCCTCAGGCTTCCAGGTGAATTGGCCCATCAATTAAAAATCTGCTTTTTACTGCAAGTTTTTTGAAAATCTGCCTTGATAAAGCCGAATATTTAACATTAAGTGTGTGTTTTTAAAGATCTTAGCCTGAATAAAGACTGATGGTTCATTCGAACGTGTTAAACATGCACATATTTCAATTATTTACTGTTCTGAGCACCAGTTTACAGCCCTCGATCGGCCCTCTGCTTCGTCTGTGTTTTGATATGTGGCCCTTGATGAAAAAAGTTTGGACACCGCTGCTGTAGACACTGTGTTGTTGTGTTCTGTGGCGCCATCTAGTGGTTTGAAAAATGAACTGCCTCCTGTGTAGAAGCTTTGACACAGAACAGGACTCGATTATACGGACAAAAACACTCATCTATCACAGTTATTTTGATAACAAATGAAAGAACTGAACAGGAAGGTGATGCAAACTCATTAAAACAAATCACAGATTGTTGTACAAAAAAGTCAAGTACAAATATGTGACACGTGACGAGGCGACTGTTGTGAAAATGACCTGGGACTGATGAGAGTGAAGAGTGAGCCGCACACAACAGGCCTGTGTTCTGTTTCTCCGGGGTTCGCTCCTCGTTCTGACATGTTCCCGACACCAGACAAACTCAACAACACAGAAGATGAATCGTCACGTGACTTTTTAAAAACTGACACACACAGGCGTCACTGTCTGAGCTCGACACAAGTTTCTACACCTCGACTCGTTTGGCCTGTCACTATTTCAGTTTTAAAATGACTGGATTTGAAACTGGCAACACAAATGAGAGAGTCACATGATGCTCATTCTGGTTTCTGATTGGATAAAAGTCTGGACTATTGTACAATAAATAATAATTGTGAGAAAAGTAAATCTTTTGTGAGCTCCACTTAGGACAACCAGGTCTAAACCAGGTCTAAACCAGGTCTGGACCAGGTCTGGACCAGGACTGGACCAGGACCAAACCAGGTCTTAACCAGGTCTTAACCAGGACTAAACCAGGACTAAACCAGGTCTAAACCAGGTCTAAACCAGGTCTAAACCAGGTCTAAACCAGGTCTAAACCAGGTCTAAACCAGGTCTAAACCAGGACTGGACCAGGACTGGACCAGGACTGGACCAGGACTGGACCAGGGACCAGGACTGGACCAGGTGGACCAGGACCGGACCAGGACCAACCAGGACCGAACCAGGACCAAACCAGGACCAAACCAGGACTTAACCAGGACTTAACCAGGTCTAAACCAGGTCTAAACCAGGTCTAAACCAGGACTAAACCAGGTTTCTGATTGGATAAAAATCTGGAACCAAAACATCAGATTATAACATAAACAACTTAATTACAAAAACACTGGACATGATGATTAAGACTAAATCAAGATTACTGTTATGATTTGATTTGAACATATTTATTTTGTGTTTGGGGACTCGTTTAGCTCATGTTTATGGAATTTAAAATCAAAATCTTACAAACGGTTCCTTTTTTAAATGAAGAGAAAACAGATCCCAGACGCTGATACTGAACGGAGCCAGAGGAAGTTTACACAGACTCTATAAATACACCCTCCTCTTCCTCCTCTACCCCCTCTCCTCCTCCTCCTCCTCTTGTACTTCATAGTTGGGAGTATTTAGAGTATTTAGAGTGTGTGTTGTGGTTGCAGGTTCTATTCCCGGTGGAAGGAGTGGGAGTCGTTGTACGCTCAGAGCTGTGGCCTTCACTTTTCACTCCGAGAAGAACAGTGGAGGAAAGACTGGGCCTTTATCCTCAGTCTGGCCAGTCAGGTCTGTACTACAACTACTACTACTACTACCACGACTACTTCTGTGGCTTGTTGTATCAGAGGGTTCAGTCAGTTACAGCGCCTCCTCTGGTCGCTCACAGAATCACGTGAGTTTTGTCTGTGTGTTTCAGTGTGGAGCGTCTCTGGAACAGACTCACATCTTTGTCCTCAGTCACATCCTGCGCCGTCCCATCATCGTCTACGCCGTCAAGTACTACAAGAGCTTCAGAGGAGAGACGCTCGGGTTCACCAGGTTTCAAGGTACTAATACTACAAGTACTACAGTTGGGGTACGTCAGAGTACAGGAAGAGCGTTCCAGACACCGCTCCTCTGTGTGGATCAGAACACAGAGTCTGGCTGAGACAGGACGTGACAAAATGGGCCTTTGTCCCATTTTAAATTCACATTATTTTATGTTAAACATTTTGATTTTGAAAAGAGACTCAGGCCTGGGAAAAGAAATCTTCGCTTTGCTTTGAAACTCACCTTGGAAAGTCGCCTGGGGGAAGTACTTCCTGCTGAGCGGGGCAGAAAACAAAACCGGTGTTGGCAGTGAGGAGGAGACTTCTGTGCAGGTTGTTCGATTTGAGTCACTTATTCTTTTCTGTTTTTTGTACTTTATTTTACGCTACTCCAGACGTCTGTTTTAAGATACATTTTGTCTGGCTAAAGACACTTTTTTTTTGTTGTCGTCTCCATCTACTTTGACCACGTTGGGCCAGTTTCCCCACACAGAATAAAGCCGATAAACCAGGAAAATGTGCACAGAAAAGTGACTCCAAGTGACAGAGACACAGAGTTAAATCTGTCACTGCCTCAGGTTCAAACACCTGGACTCTGCTCTGGCTACATGCTTCTTGTTCCTCTTCCAGTTTGTTTGCTTTACTTGTGTGACAGGTGCGTACCTGTCGTTGAGTTTGTTTCTCTCTTGTGTGACAGGTGCGTACCTGTCGTTGAGTTTGTTTCTCTCTTGTGTGACAGGTGCGTACCTGTCGTTGAGTTTGTTTCTCTCTTGTGTGACAGGTGCGTACCTGTCGTTGAGTTTGTTTCTCTCTTGTGTGACAGGTGCGTACCTGTCGTTGAGTTTGTTTCTCTTGTGTGACAGGTGCGTACCTGTCGTTGAGTTTGTTTCTCTCTTGTGTGACAGGTGCGTACCTGTCGTTGAGTTTGTTTCTCTCTTGTGTGACAGGTGCGTACCTGTCGTTGAGTTTGTTTCTCTCTTGTGTGACAGGTGCGTACCTGTCGTTGAGTTTGTTTCTCTTGTGTGACAGGTGCGTACCTGTCGTTGAGTTTGTTTCTCTCTTGTGTGACAGGTGCGTACCTGTCGTTGAGTTTGTTTCTCTCTTGTGTGACAGGTGCGTACCTGTCGTTGAGTTTGTTTCTCTCTTGTGTGACAGGTGCGTACCTGTCGTTGAGTTTGTTTCTCTCTTGTGTGACAGGTGCGTACCTGTCGTTGAGTTTGTTTCTCTCTTGTGTGACAGGTGTGTACCTGCCGTTGCTGTGGGAGCAGAGTTTCTGTTGGAAAAGTCCCATCGCTCTGGGTTACACTCGTGGACATTTCTCTGCGCTGGTTTCCATGGAGACGGACGGGTTCGATAACCGCGGCGCCGGCGCCAACCTCAACTCTGACGACATCACCGTTACTCTGCTGCCATTGGTCGACAGCGACAGGAAGCTGCTGCCCGTGCACTTCCTGTCCGCTCAAGAGGTACGATCCTCACGATATCGATACCGAATCACCAGATTTATGGATGTTTCAGTCTTCGCGTCGTCTAAACTCTGACGTATCTGACGTTTGTTTGTTTTTGTTGTTGTTTGTGTCAGATGGGCACGGAGGAGCAGCAGGAGCGCCTCTTGCGTTCCTGGTTGGACTGTTGCGTGACGGAGGGCGGGACTTTGGCCGCGGTGCAGAAGAGCAGCCGGAGCCACCCGTTGGTCGCTCAGATGATTGACAGGTGGCTGGACCGCTACCGGCACATGAGGGACTGCGGCTTCGACGACGACGAGTAAACGAAAGAAACAAAAGAAACGAAGAACTTTATTATTACTACAAACTGGAACAAAAACAAAGACTTCTGCAAAACCTTTAATGTGTGATGATGCATGCGAGTGTGAATTTAACCAGCAGAAAATACGTTTAAAATCCAGAAAAAAGCACACGTGAATCTGTCCAGTGGCTGTTTCCATGACGATTATTCAATAAAAAAAAACACACACATAAAAAATGTTTTACTAGGAATAACAGCAATACTCTTCTAATCTGATCTTTAAAGCTGCAACGTGTAACTTTTCTGGTTGAGGGTCCAGCCAACAGCTTGTTTCCATGGAGATGTTGCGTTTTTTTTTGCTTGAAATGTTCCACAGTATTCCTTTAAACTTGCATTTTTGCTTTTAATGCGCAAAAATACGTTCAAAAACAACAGCATTGTTACTGTGCTTGTTTCCACGGAGATAAAAAAAAAAAAAAAGCCTAATGCTGCACTGTGGAACATTCCAGGAAAAGCGGTGTACTGTCTCCATGGAAACGAGCGAGTCTACAAGAAAAATTATACAGTGAATCTTTAATTTGGTAGGTTTTTTCTTCTTAAATCCATCTTGAATATTTTATGTAAGAAATTTAGTCAAAATTTAGTCAAAATTGTGGAAAATTTAGTTTTTTTTTTCCTCGAATAAGTTTAATTTTCATCAGCGTATTTTAACAGTTGACGGACATTTTCTGTTTTGCTTCTGTTTACTTCCATAAATGATCTGAAAATGATAGTATTTCAGTCTAAAATTTGCCTTAAAAAGCTTAAAATCTCTTCAAATTTACCAAATATTTCGATTTTTTTGTGATCTTTTGTCATGGAAACAGCCGCGTCTTCACCGATCTCCTGCAATAATAAAACTACGTTAAACTACATAAGAACCGCATAAGCTGCACTATAATGGAAAAAGAGATTTTTGTGTGAAATTTCAAAGCACCTCTTTTACTTTTCATTATTTATTTGTTTAGAAGAGTTTTAGGTTTTGGATTTTCGGACCCGTTTCAACGCGTTTGGGTGGATTTCATTTTGCACGATGTTCAAAGAGTTTAAAGAGTGAGTTTACTGACGTTTTGAAGTGTTTCGGATGAAGATGTAGATTTATTATTATTATTGTTATTATGGGATGAGGGAGAGAAAACCAAACCTTTGTATCAAGTGTGGATTAAATTTGTCTCACCTCAAACTCTGGAGTCTGTTTTTTTATTTTATTTTTTTCAATTTAAACATTTTTTTTTTTACTTATTTTGTTTTTTATTTTAAACTTCAAACTGGATTTTAATTTTTTACATTTTTATTTTATTCAAATAGTTTTGTTTTTTTTATTAACATTTTTATTAAAAACAAATTTAATTTTATTTGGTATTTTTATTTTTTACTTAAAAGTGGATTTTAATTTTTAAAAGTTTTTATTCCATTCAATTTTTTAAATATATATTTTTATATATTTATAGATTTTAATATAAGATTTATATTAAAACTTATTTTATTTTTATTCTAAACTTAACTCCGGATTTTTATTTTTTTTTTTTTACCTTTTTATTTTATTCTGTTATTTTATATTATTTTGTATTTTTATTCTATTTTTTTTTATTAAAACTAATTAGATTTTTAAAATTTGAATTAAATTTGATTATTTATACATTAAAAAAAAAAATATATATATATATATATATATATATTTTTTTTTTTGTTTTTTCTGCATATTTATTAAAGCTTAAATTTTTTACTTGTCAAATATCAAGAGAAAAATCGAACCGTTTGGAAGACCAGCAGTGAACGCTGAGTCATTGTAGAAATGTGATGTTATGAATTTAATTTGATCCAGAACCGTCCAAAAGTCCAGAACAAATCAAATCAAATAATGAGGTTAATTGTGACAAATGGATAATTAATTAACTATGAAGCAGGTGACGGAAAAAAAGTAAAAACAGGCATGAAGACATTTGTTTTATTTACATTTTATTTTATTCAAACTGCACTGACGCTAAATGTTCACCGTTTACAATGAACAAAACAATACAGAGATTTTACTCACACGAAAACAACTGAAGGATTTACGCCCCAAAAAAATCATCCGGGACGGGAAAGAAAACTACGGGAGCTCTATCGGGACATTCAACTACAAATCTAAAATTCCAACACCAAAATATCTTTATAAAAATACCACAGTAAAATGGGAGAAGCTTAAATTTGGAGATTGCAAATTCCTTACAGACAAAACCGAGGGATTAGAACAGTTTTCCCAAAAATTCCTGAGTCGAGAGAAGTTCGATTTAACCCTTTCCTTAGACAAAAAAGCAGGAAAATTACAAAAGTTTTACTATTAATTCAAAGCGTCAATATTAAAGCTGCACTGTGTAACTTTTCTGGTGGCGGGTACGTCGTCTGCTTTGCCAGGAATGTCCCGCAATATGGCTTTAATCGCATGTATTCCAATTGAAACTGCACATTTTTCACATTTCGAGGAGTTTTTTTCCCCATCGAAAGACGTCATATTTGGCTTTAAATTGCTCGTCTCCATGGCAACGGGCGTCACTCTTCGTCACGCCGAACGCCGCGGACACCGGGCCCAAGTTACGGGTCAGATCCGCGGAAAAGCGAGCCCACACACGGCAAGTTTTTTGAGCAATAAAAACAGTTGTAATTAAATAAATCCTTGGTATAGACGGGTTTAATGCCATACTGCGGGACATTTCTAGTAAAGCAATGACATCGCCATGGAGACGAGCAGGTTACAGAGTGCAGCTTTAAAAAAAAAAAAAAAAAAAAAGACTAATACTCATTTTCTGATTAAAAACAAACATACCTGGAGTTGTTTTGTTTCATTTAAATGTCATTTTTCATACTTTATTTCCGGACGTTTCCTTTTGCAGGAGTCAAAACACGCCGTTCCACCTCGTGATGTCATCAGGTGGTGGTCCAGAAAGTCCGTTCGTCTTCGTAAAACTCATTCTGATCGTTCAAAACTGTTCAAACTGCATTTACGACGGCAGCTAAACAGGCCTGTAACGATAATCAATAAATCGAATAATCGTACGATAACTTTTAACGAGCTCCATAACTTTTCCTCCTTTTACGACTTAACTTTTCGTTTTCTATTTGCACCAAAACGGTTCATCGCCGCGTGACAAAATCAACACGACTGAGCGGGACGTCAGGAGGGAAAATGATTTAAATGAAAAATGGAAAAAACGGATAAAGTTTCCCGTTTCCGTGACTTAAACTACGTGGCCGGACTTTTGCGCCGCGTACGGACTGAACCAGGACTAAAACGAGACTGAACCAGGACTAAAACGAGACTGAACCAGGACTAAAACGAGACTGAACCAGGACTAAAACAAGACTGAACCAGGACTAAAACGAGACTGAACCAGGACTAAAACGAGACTGAACCAGGACTAAAACAAGACTGAACCAGGACTAAACCGTTTTCAGTCCTGATCTGGTCCCGGTCTCGGTCACGGTCTCGGTCTTAGTCCCTGTCTAAGTCCCAGTCTCAGTCCTGTTCCCGGTCTCGGTCCCGGTCTCAGTTCTGGTTTGGTCCTGGTCTCGGTCCCAGTCCCACTCTCGGCCCCGGTCTCTGTCTGGTCCCGTTCTTAGTCCATGTCTCAGTCCTGGTCCTGTTCCTGGTCTTGGTCTCGGTCCCAGTTCTGGTTTGGTCCAGGTCTCGGCCCCGTTCTCGGCCCCGTTCTCGGTCCCGGTCTCTGTCCCGGTCTCTGTCCCGGTCTCTGTCTGGTCCCGTTCTTAGTCCATGTCTCAGTCCTAGTCTCAGTCCTGGTCCTGTTCCCGGTCTCGGTCCCGGTCTCAGTTCTGGTCTCGGTCTCGGTCCCGGTCTCAGTTCTGGTTTGGTCCTGGTCTCGGTCCCGGTCTCGGTCCAGGTCTCGGTCTGGTCCCGTTCTTAGTCCCTGTCTCAGTCCAGTCTCAGTCCCAGTCCTGGTCCTGTTCCCGGTCTCAGTCTCGGTCTCAGTCCTGGTTCAGTCCTGGTTCAGTCCGGCATCGCAGTTTAAGTCACGTAAACGGTCGTTATCCATTTTTTTCATTTTTCATTTAAACACAAAATCGAAAACTGAAAAAACTGTTGTTTTTTCGTTTTTATTTTGAAAAAAACGAATGAACGGATTGTTTTGTTTGTGTTTGGTTTATTCAAGTGTTAAATGTTCTTTAAAAAGTAAAATTTATTGATCTTTGAAATTTTGATCTTTGTATTTTTATTCCATGGTCATTCTAATAGTTGAAAATTGTCTCAAAATGTCAATATTATCGTTTATCGGAATCATTTCTTGGTCGATTAATCGTTCGGCAAAATCTGTTATCGTTACAGGCCTAACAGCAGGTTATTGTTTTTAACCTCATTTGAACTGAGTCCTTGCGCCCTCTGCTGGCAACTGCTGGTCTTTCTTTTTTTTTTAACCAGAGCTGGATCGTTTACATAATTTTTGTGTTTAAAATGTGAAAAACGTCGATTTAAAAACACAGGAAAGGGTTAAAACTCACCGTAACGTTCCTAAAAATGATAAATAAAAGGATCCATTCACACCGACGAAGACGTTAAAGGGATAGTTTCGGGTTTTTTGACATGAATCTGTGTGTCGTCCCCGTCAGCAGTGCGATGCATCTACACCGACTTTACCTCCGACAGCGTCCGGTGAGTCGAGATCCTGGACGGTTTTGGTGCTGAGGAAAGTCGTCCGGCAAGTTGTCTGGGGACAGAATAATAAAGCGTTTTTCTTCTCAAAACAACATGTGTTCAAAAGAGTGACACATTTGCACCACAAAACCTCCGTCCTCTAAAAAGTCAGACCTCATAATCACTTGGCGCTATTTTCTCTCCGTTCGTATCACTGCGCCTGTTTCACTTTGTTCACTGCTCGGAATGTTCGCGACAACAACATGTTTGACCACGACACCGATGATGAAGAAACTGATTTTAGCACAGAGCCGATGGGAGATCTTTTTGAACCTGAATATACGTCCGTTACAGGAAAACTGTGAAATTTGTGCGGAGATTCAGACAGATTTTTGTTGTTACAGCCCGGAAAATCGCAAGTTTGCACCATTTTTTTAGATATATAGTTATGTATCTTATACAAGCTTATATACCTGTCACTCTAGCTCTGACATTAGGTCTCTCGCGTCGCGGTGGTCAAAGGTCTGAACAAGTAAACACTGCCGAACAACTGAAGAACATGATTGCTCCGCGTGCGGCTGTCAGCTGGCGGCCGCGCGGAGTGATACGAACGGAGAGAAAATAGCGCCAAGTGATTATGAGGTCTGACTTTTTAGAGGACGGAGGTTTTGTGGTGCAAATGTGTCACTCTTTTGAACACATGTTGTTTTGAAAAGAAAAACGCTTTATTAATCTGTCCCCAGACAACTTGCCGAACTACTTTCCTCAGCACCAAAACCGTCCAGGATCTCGACTCACCGGACGCTGTCGGAGGTAAAGTCAGTGTAGATGCATCACACTGCTGACGGGGACGACACACAGATTCATGTCAAAAAACCCGAACTATCCCTTTAAACTCGCAATTCTGTTACGTAAGAATTAAAATAATACGCGGGACAAGTCGATTTGAAAATGCTGCGCTCGCGTTGTGGTAAAATCGTCCCCAAATTCTATCAAAATCGAAGTAAAACCGTTTGAAATGCTTGAAACTTTCAGAAGCTTGTGTTGTGGACTACATTTCCCATGAGCGTCTGGGGCAGCGTCTCCGTTCGGACGAAGATCCCGACAGCGGCAGAGTCTTTACGTCTCTAAAAAACAGTCCGTGGTGCCGAAAAAAGTGGTTGAAAATCCAAAAAATGCGGAAATATCAAAGGGAAGAAACGTGATCAGTTTGTAGCTCGTCCTTGGTCCCAGTTTGTGAAGTTTTTTTTTTTAAATTCGTGGTTTAAATAAAGTTGAAAGTTGTGAAAACATTTTATTGCTCTTCTCGGTCCTTTAGATGAAAACCCAGAACCTTCTGGTTACAGGGTGAAGGAATCCAAGTGTCAGTCGTTCATTTGTTTTTCAAAATAAAACCAAAAAATAAGAAAATGAAAAAACGATTTTCTTCATTATTTGTCTCCAAAACCAAAATGAAAAATCAGATAATGATTCGTTTTTTTTTGTTTTGGATTTTGTGTTTAAATGAAAAATGGAAAAAACGGATAACGGACTGAACCAGGTCCAGGGACCACACCGGAATCAGACCGGGACCAGACTGAGATCGGGATCAGACTGGGACTGAGACCAGGACTGAGACCGAGACCAGACCAGATCAGGACCAGATCAGGACTGAAAACGGTTTAGTCCTGGTTCAGTCCATTATCCGTTTTTTTCCATTTTACTGTTAAAAACAAAATCCAAAACTGAAAAATCAAATAATCTGTTTTTTCATTTTGGTTTTGGAGACAAATAATGAAGAAAAAAGTTTTTTGTTTTTTTTTTGGTTTTATTTTGAAAAACAGTCAGTCTTTGCTTTCTTTATTCCTCCACTTTGTCATTTTTCTTACTGTTAAAAAACACATTTCTTTCATTTTTTTCTGAACCTTGAAATCTTTTTTTTTTTTTTTTTCTCGAATTTAAACAATAAAATCTGGAAAGTATCAACTAATCCAAGCTAAATTTGATATACTTTGACATGTGCCTGTTTTTTTAATGGTTAAAGGTTCATTATGTAACTTTTTTGGTGTTTTCTCGTCACTACAATACAGTTATATTGATTCGTCTCCATGGAAACGAGCACTTGGTCAATGCTCCACTGGAAAAGTTACAGAGTGAATCTTTAAAAATTAAACATTTGTGGATGAATTTGAGATTTTTTTCTGGTGTCAATTGGTGTCTTTAAAAGTGCATTATTGTGTAACTTTTCGGGTTTTGGGGTCCGTCACCTGCTTGTTTCCATGGATACGCTTCTACGCTCTGCCCGGAATGTTCCGCAGTGTGACTTTAAACAGCTCTACTTTACATCTATTCAAATATAAGTGGTTTTATAGCTCAAAAACACCTCGAAAAACAAAACATCCCGACTGTAACTTCTGTCTGGTCTGGTCCGGTCTCCGCGGCGACAGAAAGGTTTAAAGCCATACTGCGGAACATTCCAGACAAAACGACAGCGTCTCCGTGGAGAGAAGCGTTCGACGGAGCCTCCGCCAGAAAAGTTACACAACAAATTCAGTATTTTTCAGAAAGACTAAACAAAAACAAAAAAAAGAAAAAATCGTTACAAGTCAAACTCTTTTGTCCTTCTGGAATTTTCCGTGGCTGAAATCTGAGGTTTTTTTTGTTTTGTTTTTTATCCTCGGATTCTGCTTCTTTCTCAAAATGTTGGGTTGGTTTTCCGAGGCGTTTCCCCGGCGACGTGGAGAGAGGAGATGGAGCGGTTATTGCAGGTTTATCGGTGTTTTTATCAGTGGTTTTTTGTTGGTTTTATCGGTGGTTTATCAGTGGTTTATTGTTGGTTTTCTTGTTGGTTTTATCGGTGGTTTATCGGTGGTTTATCGGTGGTTTATTGTTGGTTTTCTTGTTGGTTTTATCGGTGGTTTATCGGCGGTTTATCGGTGGTTTATTGTTGGTTTTCTTGTTGGTTTTATCGGTGGTTTTATCGGCGGGGTTATTGGTCGGCGACGGGTTTGGAGGACGGCCGGTTGGGGGACGGGGTCTGCGACGGGTGAGCGCCCGACGGGACGCCGTGGGAGACCGGCACTCCTCCCGAAGGAACCAGCCCCCCCTCCAGAGCAGAGCCGGACAGAGAGCCGGGAGACAGGCCCACCACGCCCGCGGGAAATCTGAGAGAGAGAAGAGAGAAAGAAAGAAGGAGAGAGGAGAGAAGAAGAGAGAGAGAGGAGAGAAAGAAGGAGAGAGGAGAGAAAGAAGAGAGAGAAGGGAGGAGAGAGAGAGAGAGAAAGGAAGAGAAATGAGAGAGAAGGAGGGGGAAGGGAGAAAAGAAAAAAGCAGAGAGAGGGAGGAGAAAGAGAGAGGGAGAAAAAGAATGAGGGGAGAGAGGGAGTGGCAGCGGGAGTATGAGATGGAAAGAAAGAGCGAGAGAGAGGAGGGAAGAGGAGAGAGAGAGAGAGGAGAAGGAGGAGAGAAAAGAAGAGAGGGAGAGATGAGAGAGAAAGAGAAATGAGAGAGAAGGAGGGGAAAGGGAGAAAAGAAAAAAGCAGAGAGAGGGAGGGAGGAGAAAGAGAGAGAGAGAAAGGGAAAGGGAAGGAGGGGGGAGAGAGAGAAAGGTGGGGGAGGGAGAGAGAGGGAGAAAAAGAATGAGGGGAGAGAGAGAGGGAAAGAGCCAGAAAAGGAGGAAGGAGGGAAAAGATAGGTGGGAGAGTAAAGGGGGGGAGGAAAAGAGGAGAGAGAAGGGAAGAGGAGGGAGGGAGAGAGAGAGGAGAGAAAGAAAGAGAGAGGAGAGAAGGAGGGAGGGGAGAGGGAGAAAAGAAAAAAACAGAGAGAGGCAGAAGAGGGCGAGAGAGGGAGGAGAAAGAGAGAGAGAGAGAAAGGGAAGGAGGGGGAGAGAGAGAAAGGTGGGGGAGGGAGAGAGAGGGAGAAAAAGAACGAGGGGAGAGAGGGAGAAAAAGAACGAGGGGAGAGAGGGAGAAAAAGACCGAGGGGAGAGAGGGAGAAAAAGAACGAGGGGAGAGAGGGAGTGGTAGTAAGAGATGGAAAGAGAGAGAGAAAGACAGACAAGAGAGAGAAGGAGAGAGGGAGGAAGAGAGAGAGTTAAAGTTAAAATGATTAAACCGTTTAACACAAACTTTTCAGCTCAGAGCAAAACCACAGCAAAGATTTAAATAAAGAATAAAGTTCACAAACAAAACAAAACTTTAGACATATTTTTCTAAAGGAAAAACTTAGTAGAAAAAAAAACAAACAAACAAACAAAAATATAATTCCCAATATAAAGATGTTTAACTATTGTCACGGAAAAGGACAAAAGAAAATAGGAAAATCATAAAACACAATCAGTGTCGGGAAGTAACAGATTACATGTACCAGAGTAATCAGAGTACAAATGAAGAGTAACTGTATTCAGTTACAGTTACTGTTTCAGTGAGTGGTAATTGGATTACAGTTACTTTGTTGAAATAAATGGACACAGAGGGATTTTACTGTTTTCACATTTTGGGCTAAATCAGATCTAAACCAGGACTAAACCAGGTCTAAACCAGGACTAAAACCAGGTCTAAACCAGGTCTAAACCAGGACTAAACCAGATCTAAACCAGACTAAAACCAGGTCTAAACCAGATCTAAACCAGGACTAAAACCAGGTCTAAAACCAGGACTAAACCAGGTCTAAACCAGATCTAAACCAGGACTAAACCAGGTCTAAAACCAGGTCTAAAACCAGGACTAAACCAGGTCTAAACCAGAACTAAACCAGGACTAAAACCAGGTCTAAACCAGGACTAAAACCAGTCTAAACCAGGATCTAAAACCAGGTCTAAACCAGGTCTAAACCAGGACTAAAACCAGGTCTAAACCAGGACTAAAACCAGATCTAAACCAGGACTAAACCAGGTCTAAACCAGGACTAAAACCAGGTCTAAACCAGATCTAAACCAGGACTAAAACCAGGTCTAAACCAGGTCTAAACCAGGACTAAAAACCAGGTCTAAAACCAGGACTAAAACCAGGTCTAAACCAGGACTAAAACCAGATCTAAACCAGGACTAAACCAGATCTAAACCAGGACTAAAACCAGATCTAAAACTGACTAAACCAGGACTAAACCAGGACTAAAACCAGGACTAAAACCAGGTCTAAACCAGGTCTAAACCAGGTCTAAACCAGGACTAAAACCAGGTCTAAACCAGGACTAAACCAGGACTGAACCAGGACTAAAACAGGTCTAAAACCAGGTCTAAACCAGGACTAAACCAGGATTTAACAGGACTGTGTCTCTTTTATCAATGATCTTTTTAATACGGTTAAATCAAATCTGGGCTTTTTATTTTCTTTTAGCAGATAAAACATCTTATGTTACGATGTCTTTGCTTCTCTACAGCAAATCAAGTAATCCAAAGTATTCAGATTACGTTACTCACTTTAAGTAATTTAATAGATTCCGTTACAAACTACATTTTGGTGTATGTAATCTGTAATCTGTAGGGGATTACATTTTTAAAGTCACCTTCCCAACACTGAACACAAAACAGTCAGATGATCCTCGTACAGTCGACGGGAGAGGAAAAGGCAGAAGGAGCAGAGCTGGTGGACACTGCCATCTACAGGCGACTCGGGGGAAGCACAGGGACACGCCGCTCTGTCTGCACACGTCCGTCACGAGCCGGGAAGACGTTTGGAAACACGAGACGACGACGACGACGACTTCCGGTGTAGTTCCCGACACTGGGCTCGTGATCCGACCCGCTGAAGTTAATGTAAATGTAAATCTGTAGACACGCGTACGGGAGCCGAGAGGGAAACGCAAACGCCAACGCCGCAACGAATAGAAATGCGACGACGCGACAAAAAGCCACAACAAACAAAACAAAAAAAAAGCCACAACAGAAATGACCGCGGGACTCTATTTTAATGCAAACGCCGCAACAAATACAAACGCCACAACACAAACGCAAATGCCACAACACGTTAAAAAGCCACAACACATTAAAAAGCCACAACAAACCAAAAAAAGCCACAACGGAAATGACCGCAGGACTCTATCTTAATGCAAACGCCACAACACAAACGCAAAAGCCACAACATGTTAAAAAGCCACAACACATTAAAAAGCCACAACGGGAGTGACCGCGGGACTCTATTTTCCGACGGACCGATCAAGCAGCGAGTGAAGAAGAAGAACTACAACGTGAAACGTAAAGGAACGGAGAAGTTGGAAACGTAAGTAAAAGTGATTTATTGTTGTATCATTATTCGTTTCACGTTGTAGTTCTTCTTCTTCACTTGCCACTTGATCGGTCACTTCCGTTGTGGCTTTTTGATGTGTTGTGCTTTTTAACTTGTTGTGGAATTTGCGTTTGTGTTGTGGCATTTGTATTTCTTATGGCGTTTGCATAAAAATACAGTCCCGCGGTCATTTCTGTTGTGGCTTTTTAATGTGTTGTGGCTTTTTTTGTGTTGTGGCTTTTTGTTGTGTTGTGGCTTTTTAATGTGTTGTGGCTTTTTAATATGTTGC